GAGTCCTGCAATAGAAACACCTTCAGAGAACCTGATAGAGGTCCAAGAGCGGTGGTGGTGCAACCCCAACAGAGGATTTCCCAGGGGGGTGGGTATACATACATACATTTCATTCTTGCCATCCTTGTTTCTAATGATATCTGTCTAATTCCATACTTGAAACCTTAACAGCGAAACCAGGAAAGGTTGTTGGTCCAACTGTACCTTATGAGACCGGAAGTAAAGAGGCATTTGAGCAGCAGAGAAATGTAATCAGGAGTACAATTAGGACGCCTTCGCAGATTATGCCTTCGACATATTGTTACCAGAGATTTGGGGCAGCAGCCAAGCAGGAAAGACCTGTAACCGAGGCACAGAAGGAGGTGGTGCCATCTTCACAACACGTCAAACCTATAGTTCACTGCGGCATGGCTGCCAAATTAGCACCAGATATCGCCATCACTATTGACAGCAACCCATTCTATATGACACGGGGGGGTGGAGTGAAAAAGCCCCCCGGGGATCATGTTAGTGATGGAATCAGCATCGACACTAACTTTCTGCAGACAAAAGCTCAATACGGTGGTATTGGCATGGCTGCTGCAACAGCAGCAAATGCTTCTGCTGCTCATAGAAAAATGGGGACTGTTCAGTTTGGCATGTCAAGGATGTACTAGGGAGATCGAAATGTATAGAGAATGGGATTATTACACTTTAGAAAAGCTGGTTTTCTTTAGTTACTCAGACACTATTTGCTTTTATAAACCTGGAAATTATATGTTAGTAAAATTTAAAGTCAGGATTTTTGTAGTTCCTTCTCGTTTGGGTCTTTTACTTCATTTTAATACATTGTATAATCTTGCAAACAAACCTACAAAATTATTTGCCTAATATTTTAATTGCTCATACAAGCCAGTTTTCTAAAATGATGCACAATTGATGAAAATTTAGAAGCTAAAATAATAAGAAAAATTATTAGATTGTTTTTTTTTTTTTTTTGGTATCGTAACTTTCCATAAGGTTTGAATAGTTATAAGTTATATTTATATAAGATATTTATTTTTATTTTTTAAAAATATTTTACTTTTAATCTATCAATTAGAATCGTTAAAATAGACTTAGTTCACCGAGTTTACTTGTCCCATTGTAGGTTTCATGAGTCATGAATAGTACAACCCCTCAACCTTAATGGCTAGAAATCCAAAGCAAAACTCTCCTAAAAGTTCACTCTAGCTCATCCATACCAATTTGACCATCTAGAGTTTCTTCAAGAAATGATAGAATATGATGCTCAACATTGGAAATGATGAAGATGAAGTATGGTGCAAGGTTTGTGTGTGTGTGTGTCGTGTATGTGAGTGGAAAATAGGGAGAGGAAGAAGACTCTATATATATATATATATATATATATATATATATATATACACACTAGTTTAGAGTTGTAGGGCCTAAATAGGATACAAGAGTAAAGTAATAATAATAAATTGGGCTATCAAGTTTGAAATATTTATAACTATTTTAGTTATAAATATTTCAAACTTGATAGCCCAATTTATTATTATTACTTTACTCTTGTATCCAATTTAAGCCCATTATTTAAAAAAAAAAAAAAAAAAAAAAAAAAAAAAAACCTACAACTCTAAACTAGTGTGTGTGTGTGTGTATATATATATATATATATATATATATATATATATATATATATATATAGAGAGAGAGAGAGAAGGGATCAGGTGTGGGAACGACTTCCTGTGTGGTTGTGCGGCTGGACGCACATTAAGCATTAAACTGACGCACTTTAAGTACACAACATTAGGGGTGGGAATAGGCCAGGCCCCTTGTAGGGGCCTATATCCTAGCCTAATTAAAGCTTAGTTAGGCCTAGCTCGTTTAATAAAAAGGCTAGGCTTGAGCCAATTTCAAAGCCTATTAAATTAAACAGGCCAGGCCTATATATACCAGGCTCTGCCTTCAGGCCTACAGGCCTGGCCTATATATATATTATATTATATTATATATATATATATATATATATATATATATATATATATATATATATATATATATATATATATATATATATATATATATATATATATATATATATATTCTATTTTATACCTAATATTTTTATATTTACAATATAACCCCAAGTATATATAATTACCAAACCCTAATCCTTCACTTCCAAAATCTCATTCTAAATTATGATTCAACTATAAACATTGTTGTTAATCCTGCTATAAGTGATTTTATTGTGTAATTTTTTTAGTAACTGTTCTTACTATAATAATATTTAATGAAATGTCGCAACTTAATTATGTGAGTTGATTGTTAATTATTTATAATATTATATAGGATAACAAACAATAATACAATTGAATTTATTTCTAAACAAGTTAACGAGCATGCTGAAGTCATGACTTATTTTATTTTATATTTTAATGCTATTATGTTTGCATTGTGGTGATATACTTATGTAATTATGTATTAGGTACATTTCTTATATTATTTAGATATATTAAAGTTTTTAAAAAGTCTTAACATGTAGGCTTTAATTGGCTCAAGGTAGGACATACATTGAAGCATTTTTAATGACCTAAATATTAAACAGGCTTTTAAAAAGGTTTCAGGCCAGGCTAATTGCAGGCTCATGCTTGAGCCTAACAAAAAGCCTACATACAGGCTCAGGCCCAGGCCTAGACTTTAGATTTTCGTAACAGGCCCAGGCCTAATTTTCCAAAGCTCGGCTCGGCTCGGCCTATTTCCACCCCTACACAACACATGCACATTAAGCACACAAAAAAAAAACATTTAAGAACACAAATCACGTACCTTAAAAACACAAACTACGCACATTAAGCACATAACAAAGTACCTTAAGAACACAAACCACACACCTAAGGTTTTAAAAATGGTTCACTTTAAGTTTCACACAACTTACGCACCTTAAGCATACAAATCACACACCTAAGTATGAAAACAACGCGCATTAAGAAGGAAACTCACACACCTAAATTTCAGCAACTACTCACATTACAAATCCACGCACATTAAGCACAAAACTCACGCACCTTAAGTTTCAACAACTACTACCATTAAGTACACAACCCACGCACCTTAAGCACAAAACTCACGCACCTTACACACAAGACTCACACACCTTATATACAAAACTCATTCACCTTAATCACAAAACCACTTACCTTAATTTTAACCTAGATACAAAAATTGTAAAATTGCCACCGCATTTTTTAAAAAAAATTTGGTAATGTTGGACGTTGATTTAAGCAGAATCAATGGCTCTGTTTTAACCACACAATCGCACCTGAACCTATTTCTATATGTTTTACAGGGATCACCCCCCTCCCTTCTTTCCAAAAAATAAAAAATAAAAAATACTAGATGTTACAATCATGTTGCTAATACTTGTGGACCAAATTTGGTATTTGCTCTTAAGAAAAATTTAAAATTAATGGAGAAAAGGATTTCTGATAAGGAACGAGATATTGGATGATAAGGTGGAGGCAAATTATGTTGTACAATCGTGTGCACCATGCATGATGCACACGACATGGTGCACACGATTGCAAAAACGGCATCGTTTTACTTTTTTTTTAAAAAAAAATCATTTTCGATTGCCGTTAATTATGTAAATATATGTTCATAATTTTATAATTTCACATTCTGAATGTATAGTTATGAAGTTATGGATGTGTAGTTATGTAATTCTGAATGTATAGTTATGAAGTTATAATTTCACATTCTGAATGTATAGTTATGAAGTTATGGATGTGTAGTTATGCAATTCTGAATGTATAGTTATGAAGTTATGGATGTGTAGTTATGCAATTCTAAATATATAGTTATTAAGTTATGAATGTGTAGTTATGCAATTCTGAATGTATAGTTATGAAGTTATGGATGTGCAGTTATGCAATTATGAATGTATATATGAAGTTATGAATGTATAGTTATGAAGTTAATGGATGTGTTGTTATGAAGTTATGAATGTGTAGTTATGCAATTCTGAATGTATAGTTATGAAGTTAATGGATGTGTTGTTATGAAGTTATGAATGTGTAGTTATGCAATTCTGAATGTATAGTTATGAAGTTATGGAAGTATAGTTCGAATTATGCAAAACATAACGTTGTTAATGATAATAGAAACTGATTTTTTTTTTTTTTTAAAGTCGGACGTCAAAATGAAGTCGTTTTTACAACTGTGTGCACCATCGGTTGCCGAGCATAACCACTCTAAGGGGGCGTTTGGTTCAGGTTATATAACATAACCAAGGGAATGTGACATTCTAAAGTTCACATTCCGGTGTTTGGTTCATATTATCTTAGGGAATCTAATATTCCCAAGGAATGTCACATTCCCTCCACATAGGATTTTGAAGGGAATGTGATTCCCTTCAAAATCTTAGGTAATGTAAGATAACCTTGGTTATGTTAGTTTATTTTATATATATATATATATATATATATATATATATATATATATATATATATATATATATATATATATATATATAAAGTTATTTTTGTAGTTATATATTTTTTTTATTTTTATTATGTTATGTTAGCGTATAAAATAATTTTGTTTCTCAAGTTCAAGATTTTAGTTAATATTTTAAAATCATGTAATTATATATGATACCGTTATCTTATTTATTTATTTTAATTTTTAAATTTATTAAAATATATGAAAATATGTTAAGGATATTATAGTATGTATAAAAGATAACCCTAAACCAAACATGATTATATTACATACCCTAATTTTAATCAAACACAGAAATCTAACATTCCAAGTAATCTAACATTCCCAGCAATCTAATATTCCCTAAGGTAATCTGACATTCCTTGAACCAAACGACCCCTAAGGTGGATGTTTGCTCTAACCCCCCCCCCCAAAAAAAAGGTCCCACACCACCTTTGCAGGTTTGCCACGTGCTACACACTATCCTCCCAGAAGCATCCATTACCGTTCATTCCTATGATCACTGAATTCGCCACTTTAGAAAGATTCGTTTATTCTTATTTTCACCAAGAGAAAGGAAAACCCTAATCCCATCTCGCATTCTATTCGGTCAGCGATATCCCATAACGAAGGTGATTCTTACTCTGTCCTTCTTCCCTTTCAAGATTTCACGAAAAATTCGCTTTATGCAAAATATGTTAGTAATTTTTTTTTCTTTTGATTAATCGTGTCAGTGTGTATTTTATTGATTTTGTAGTGTTCATTATGGCGGATGAGTCGGCAACCAACGGAGATGTATTCGATGATGCTAAGATCGGCGCAAATGATGACTCCCTGAGCCAGAAGCTTGCTGCGTCGGAGAAGGAGAACCGGGAGTTGGTTCGTGAAAACGAGGTCGTGAAGGAGATAGAGGAGAAGCTGAAGAAGACAATTGAGAAGCTGGAGAACGAGAGATCCGAGTTGCGGAAGAAGGTGGAGAAGTCGGGGTCGGAGAATAGGGCTCTGGGATCGGTGGCTGCTCGAGCTTCTGAACTCGAGGGAGAGGTGGCTCGGTTGCAGCATGATCTGATCACCGCCACGAATACTTTGGCAGACGCTAATTCTGAGGTGTCACAGTTGAAGGCAGCATTGGAGGGGCTGAAAGCTAGTGAGGAAGAGAAGAGATTGAAACTTGAAGCGGTTGAGGGGGAAAGGAATCAACTAATTGCGAAATTGACAAAACTGGAGAGCAGTGAGAATGATCACAGGGCTGAAATGGAAGCAAAGGAGCAGGAGAACAGAGTTTTAATGAAGAAAAATCAGGATTTAGAGAATGCCTCCCTTCTGGCGAAGGGGTTCGATAAGGAGATGGAGGAGTTGAGGAAGAGGTTGGGTGAGCTAGAGAAGATGAAAATAGAATTGGAGGAAAAGTTGGAGGAGAAAGAAAGGGTGATCCATGAAAGGGCTGTTCATGGAAGTGTGAATGGGATTAAAGATTGTCATCTTGGTGTTAAAATGGAGTGGCCAGTTATAGCAGGATCTGCTGTTGCTACTATTGCTGCAGTATCTGTTGTGTTTTACCTGCATCAGAAGAAAGCATAGACCCAATGAGGTTTTTTGTCTAACCAAGTTTTGATAGTATCATCATTATTTTTGGCTTTAGTATCATCACTTTTACTTGATTGTACTAGATTGAAGTGTTCTTTTTGGTTGAATAGTAATAATCAGATATACTTTGGATGCTAAACTGCACTGGATTGGATGAAACGTTTTCCAGTTAGCATTTGAATCTTTTGATTGACTTGCAAAACTTCTGTTTGTAGTTTGGGATTATCATACACCTCTTTAAGGGTGTGGTTGTTATACTTTGGATGCTAAACTGTCCAGTTAGCATTTGAATCTTTTGTTTGTAGTTTGGGATTATCATATACCTCTTTAAGGGTGTGATCGATTCTAGTGAAAGATCCTAGATGGTATGGATGAATTCTCATGGTTTTTCCAATTCTTACAATATACTTTCATGTTTGATTGCTGAAGAGTTTCTGACATATGGAAATTTGATGTGTAATTTTATGTCCTGTCTTTTTGTTTATTATCAATGATATACATTTGCAGCACTATTTTCTGATTTTTCTCTAGCTGTTTCTTGGTAAAATAGTTAAGTTTGAGATTACCTGTGCCCTTAGCCAAGACAACCCTTCAATACTTTGCTTCATTATGGTCCACACAGAGTTATGTGAATCATAACAAAAAGTACATTATTCGTGTATTGAAAAAACATTATTTGATAGTATAGTTTACCGTCGTTATATTATAGACCGCGGTGCATGTGCACCGCGGTCAAAAACGGCGCCGTTTCTTTAAGTAAAGAAACGGTCCGCCATTAGAGTTAACGGAGTCCGCTTGTTTGGTGTATTAAACATCAACTGACACTATAGTATACCTTAACCGACACTGCAGTTATATCAAAATGATACTGTAGTTATAGTGAAATGAAACTGCAGTGTATATAAAATGAAACTGAATAACATTTTACATATTTGAGTGTATATTGTACAATGAAGCTGTAATTATATCAAAATGATCATGTAGTTGTGTTTTAATGAAAATATAGTGTATATAAAATAAAATTAAATAACACTTTCACATATTTGAGTCTATAAATATCGAATGAAACTATAATTATATCGAAATGAAACTGTAATTGTATTGAACTGAAAGTGCAGTGTATACAAAATGACACTGAACAACAGAGTTACTTTTTGCAAAAGGGTGTGAAACGATGGAAACAAACACTGCTTATTTTCATTTAAAAAAAAAAGACGCGTGATGCATAATCAATTATGCATCGCAGTGCATAATATAATTTGCCTATAGTTTATATGTGGACCATACTGATTAGGCTTCTAGACTAGCAAGTTAGAATGAAGTTTTCTTTCTTTTTTAATTAACCCAATGGGCCAACCTTGTAATCTGACTGGCTCAAGTAGCCCAATTTTCTTATCCTATTCAATTTTAATTATTAAGAAGAACCCAAATTGCCCAAGTGACAATCCTCATACCATGGGTCAGGGTTCACAGTACACGGTGGACCCGAGTACATATGTATATATTTTATGTTGTGAGTTTTTGTGTCTTGTGTTATGAAATTTTGTATCTTAAATATGAATTCTGTACTTGAAATAAATTAGTAATTGTGTCATTCTATTCTAGAGCTATTTCGTGAACCAGACGTGTTGTAAATACATTTTGATGAGATTAAACTACATTCAAAAAAAAAAAAAAGATTCCAAATTTCCAAGTTCATATACAAAGCTTGTAGCCTTGAACGTAGAAAATTTTGTACCAACAACAATATCGACACCTAAATACTCTTTGAAGTAATCCTACATCATGCTAGATAGTTAAATTTGTTACGAACAAGCATCTCCTTACGCACAACGAGAAAACTAGTAACGTCTCCATATATAAGTCATCAAAATAGAACTTGGGCAAGATAGCACGCAATGCTAGAATCTCATGCCAACAAACATCACAAAAATGAGCACATGAATAACTGCCAACTTCAAAATGAAATAGTAGAGAAACATGTGGATGAAGAGACTACAATTAGGAAGAGAAGTCAAAAAATACTATTTAACTTTAAAATCGATTATAAAGTTAGAACATATTCAAAACGAAATCTTTAATCAAAGATCAAGAGTTCGATCATTGTCTTTAGGTATAGAGCAGATGAGATGTTTGACGGTAGAAATTATCGGCTACCAAAAAAAAAACTTAATAACGAAATGTTAAAAAAAAAAGTTAATAATTTAGGAATGAAATTAACTTTTTAATAATTTACTCCTCCAAACAAATAAATAAATGGCACTGATAAGTGATAATGATTAATACTAAATAAAGAAATACATAAAAAGAAACTTAGCAGTCTTAGCCCTAGATTTATATTCCAATCGGTTTATCCACCATCTCTCTTACCAATTGCCAATTGGTTGTCCAAGAATGTGGTGGTGATGAAGATTTTGACATATTGTTTTGAAAGCCACACCCAACCCCCACTCCTCCCAAAACTCCCCATTTTGCAGATTCACAATTCACTTCTTGAATCCATGCTTTATAAATTCAAACCTTTCTTAGTTTGACTATGCATTCTACCACTGTTACGCCATGGCAGAACTGCTGCTACTGTCCAGTTCCTAGCCGCTTTACCTCTCCCCCCCACTCTCTTCCTTTCCCCATCCGACTGAGCCGCCTCACTCTCAGCGCCGCCGCCACCACGCACAGCTGCAGCACCGAGCACGAGAAGCAAAAGCACCCCCGAAACCCCGAAGACCCGGATCGAGAAAACCCGGTGTTTCCTCAAGATTATTACGAAGACGGCGACGGAGAACCGGAAAGGCGATTCGAGAATCCTTTGGTCTTTTTAACAAACATGTGGTGGGCAGACATGAAGGCTGCATTGGGGCAGAGGATTAACGTGGAGGGTCTTACTTCTTCTCTGGGGATTTTTGCTAAAAACAAGCATTTGGTGATCCCACATATCGCTGTGCCGGATATAAGGTACATTGATTGGGCTGAGCTGAAGAGAAGGGGCTTTGAAGGTGTGGTCTTCGATAAGGACAATACTTTAACTGTTCCTTACTCTTTGCGCTTGTGGCCGCCTCTGAGATCGTCCATAGAGCAGTGCAAAGCTCTGTTTGGCAACAACATTGCGGTTTTCAGTAACTCTGCAGGTCACTATTTCTCAGGGTATTTATTACTATTAGTTCTGTAATTTCCTTTGAGCTCATAATATATATGCTTTGTGACTGTGAATTGTAGGACTATTTGAATATGACCCTGATGGTAGAAATGCAAAGATCCTTGAGCGTGCAATTGGAATTAAAGTAATCAGACATAGTGAGTTCTTATATCTTTTTACCTGTCCAAATTTATATATACTGTATTACCAAAATTCAATCTTTTACCATGAGTGGACAATAAGAATTGTTTTGGGGCATTAAATTTAAACATACTGCTCTGTCAAATATGAATTTTAGGGGTGAAGAAACCAGCTGGAACAGCTGAAGAAATTGAAAGGCAGTTTGGTTGCGAATCCTCAAAACTTATCATGGTAAGCAGTAAGTTTTAGTTTGGAAGAATTGTATGCAATTTCCTGCCCTGTTTAAATAACATGGTTTCTGACTTTGGCAGGTGGGTGATCGGCCTTTCACAGACATTGTGTATGGAAACAGAAATGGCTTCCTAACTATTTTGACTGAACCATTGAGTCTTGCTGAGGAGCCTTTCATTGTACAGCAGGTTGCTACATTTTATTTTATCTTTTTGAACTTATTTCCTTTTTATGTGTTCTTAGTGAACATCAGTTTGATCAAATGGAGGTTCCATTGTTATCCATGCTATTTTGCATTAACTAAAGCATCCATGCTATGGTAAATTTTGGATGACAAATTCTGCGTCATGCACTATGTGGTCTTGAAAATTTAAATAGTTAATCTCCAATATGGTGATACTCTTAGGTTATAGGCATGCAATCTAGATTCAAAGTGAGTTACTTGTTGACCTTTCTCTACTGATTGCTCTTCAGTTCTTCACACAACTTTTATCCAGCCAGATCGGAGAAGGGCCAAATGGGCCTTCAAAATATTTGGGAAAATTCTATTGCATCCTTGAAAAGCTTCTTATAAGCACCCAAACTTGGGGAAGAAGAAAAATTAGCCCTTTTCCCCTATGAATTTGCTGTTATAGCCGGTTACTACTTGGCAATTAACATGGCCAATCTTTTCTAATGTGTCTTCTTTTTTGGGCATAATTGGAAGAAAAAAATATTTCAAATAAGCAGATTAATTGGAAGAAATAAATATTCTTCTTCTCATTAATTTGTTTGTTTGATTGGCAAAGTTATGCTTCAATCCACCATTATTTCTGGCCGGAGGTGAAGTTTTGTCCACTATTCTTGTTGTGTTCCTTGAAAATTTGCTTTATTATTTTCAAAAAGCTCCTCACCATTATTTTCGATCAAAACATTCCTCTTCTTAATATCTGAGGAGGAAGAAATCTGCCTCTTCATCTAATCTTGACAAAGAGGAATTTCTTCCTCCTCATCCAGAGTTCTTCCTCTTTATCCAAATTGAATGTGGATGAAGAGGAACTTCCTCGTTGTATGTGGAAGGCTGTCAGAGTGTCAGTTGCCATACATTGGAGAATCATCAGTCTGCTTGGGTATGGTTGTATGGAGGATGTATCAGCCGCCATTGTTGCAATGGGATAAGAGAATAGTTAAACTGCCTTATTATTATTATTAAACTAACCATTAAATTGAATTATGTAAATTATAAAAGGAAACTGTCAAATAAGCAAAGTAGCAAACAAAATAACAAACATCAACAAAAAAAATGGCCATGTGTCCATGTCAACTACCAAGTAAGTGCTAACTTGCTATAACAGGTAATTTTCAAGGAAAAAAGCTAATTGGTCTTTTTTCCTGAGTTTGGGTGTTTATAAGAAGTTTTTTCAAATTTGAGGGTGCAATTGAACTTTTCCAAATAATTTGAGGGCTTATTTAACCCTTTCCCTTCTTCTTTAGTACTTCTAATTTCTATCATTTAGTGCAATTGAATTTGTTTGCAATGTAGATTCAAATTCTTTCAACTTATTATTAAGATTGATTGTCTCACCTTGTAGTTGAGTGACTCATCAGATTTAGTTCAGATGAGCATTAGTTGAATGTCCAAATGATGCAATACTTTTTGTCACTTCTCAACATTAGAATTTACGTTTTACATATTCTAAATAATATTGGTCCTGTTATCTCTGTAATTCCTAAAGCTAGTTGTTCACCATTAATTTCAAGGGATATGCGAGAGGCAGCTGCTCTTAAAAAACTATGCACATTGGGTGTTTCATTCACCATTCCACCCCTTTGATCTTAAAACTACATGGTCTTTTGCATCTTGAATTTTGTATAGTTATGCTCTATTGCTTTGCAGATATGTGAGGAGATAGATTATGCTCATTAGTTTTAGTTTCTGTAAGAACACGTGCCATGTTCAGTTGGAAACTTCAAACCTGGTCATTATTGCATCCAATTGCTGTGTAAGATAATAAAAAAAATTGTTAACTAGGTGTTTTGATATATTTTATAGCATTATGTGGTTTTTGTGATTCCATCCTACAGCTTTGTATGATAATAAACTAATTCTTATATTTGTTATATTTTCTTTTGATGAAGGATAGCATAATATCAGCATTAACATAGAAACAACTGTTAAAATTTTTTAGAGGTTAACACAATAGCAAAAATAAACTTTATCCTTTTTGCCTCTGGACCGTTGATGCTTTTAGAGCTTTCACCCAGATAATCTTATTAATTGTTACAATTAGAAAAGTTAGTGTTTTATCCTTAATGTGAGACTTTCTTACATTTATTGAACCAAAATTATTGCAGGTCAGGGTAATTGAAAGGGCACTTGTGTATCAGTGGTCGGTGAAAGGAGTGGAGCCAATCAGTCATGAACTCCTTCCTGATTGTGAGCAATGTGTAAAGGATAAACCAAATTAGAAAGTAGAAGTTTGTTTATGGCGATTAAGAAAAATCATCTCATTAACAACTATCATTTTTGTCACTATTGGTAGTTTGTATATGGAAAAGGCATGAAAATATTTCTTTGATTCATCATTAAAAAAAAAAAAAAAAAAATTAGCTGTGAATTTCTCAGATTTTTTTTCCCTCTTTCCATATAAGTAGTGTTTGGAAGAATTCATGAATGATACAAGGCTGGACGGCTGGTCATTCATCTCAAAATTTTTAAAAAAATGGTATTTTGGAGATTGGAGAAGAAGTGAGTGCTGAAGGGCTTTTGTCAGGTGACAGGTACAAGGTGAACAAATGCAGGTGGGAACAAAATCCAGAGAAGCATTTTGCATCAGTTGATAACCTATAGGTAAGGTGCATCGTCCTCTGCTCATAAAATCAGTCTAATTATTTTATATATATTATTTCATTTCAAGGATCAATGGTGGAAGGAATTGCACATCTAGTATGGGAGGAAAGAAGTTTAAATCCCCCTTGAGAATTGATGAGATGAGATGTGTGTCTCCTTTAATAGGAGTCTTGATGATTATGTTTCTCTAAAGTTTTAATCTACTCTAAGGAAATTATTTTATATATGAAGTTGATACTGCGTATGTGTATCATAATCAGGTGCGAACTATTGAAGGATTGTACTGCAACTACTACGTGATTGCACCGTGGGCACTTAGACATGCTTGGAGGACTTTTGCAGTGCAATCGTATCCAGTGCGGTACAATCATCTAGTAAGTGCGGTGCAATCTTTCAGTAGTTTGCAGGTTCGCATGGTAAGGTTAGTTTGCACCTAATTATGGATACACATATATAAACAAAAACTTGTGTGAGACCAGTATCATCTTCTTCTTTCTTTTTTGGTTCTTACCATCTAATGGAGTGGATTGCACATGTTACAATATATTAGAATTAGAGATGGTAAATGGGTTGATTTGTACGATTCATATTGTTACAAATTACAATGTCATGCTAGGCTGGCTTGGCTCTTCTTACTATTTACTTAATTTACATGTTATTTTCACTATTACTAATTTGTTGCTTATTATAGTTTATGGAGTAGATTTGTAAATAAATAAACATGTTTGTAAGAGCTAATGGTTCGTGTTAGGTTGGTTGCATATGGTTACTATGCAGGTCCAAGTTAGTTCATCTCACTATAACTTAATGAGTCTATTCAGTCAAACTCATGAAACAATGCAGGCAGGCAGGCCACTACTTTCCATCCTTTTGATTGACACCTTTATAATATATTCTATGTTACTAAAAAGAAAACATAATTTCTAAGAAATTGTTTTAAATAGACCGGATGACACGTAGTGTATTGCGTGTCTTAATATATACACAATTTAAACTTCATTTGATGGAGTGAATTGCACACGTTATAGTACATTAGCTATCTTGTTTTACAAGTTCGTTCAACTTTCCTTTCCGAATTTCAAGTTATAAAAATTTCATTCTAAAATGTTAAAAGGAGTCCAAATGCTCATCAATTTACAATATGGTTTGTATTCAAACGGTTTTGATTTATTGAGTGCTTCACCGCTGAATTGGAAACATGGACCCCGTAGTGACTGTCTTATAGCAAAGACATAATTTTATTTTTTTTACATACCACCACATTTTTTAGAAGTAGCGTGGTGCTGGACTTGGCCTTTCACCAACTTCCATTCAACAATTCCCTAACCATCAATTGTGGAACTTGGTCTTTCACGGCCTCTGCCTAACGAACAACTCATAAATTACTCATTCCATGGGTCATGGGAATGGGCTACCTGCATGCTCGAAGTTATGATTGCATTTAGTACGTGTTGAGTACAGTACAGTTGTTGTCATTTGCTTAGAATTTTGTACAGCCTGGGGAAAATGCCATCCAGTAAGTCACTTCTCAATTGACTTTTATGTACTCGTACATAAAACCTACTTGTGATTAATAAGTTAGATGAATTTAATTGTTGATTCTTGTTTCAAACAATGGCGATTAGTTATTGGGTAAGGCCGAGTAGTTGTCAAATACATTATTTTAAAAAATAGATACTTTAATATTTGAACCTGTCACCTTTTTGCGCCTAAACTGATATCATACTGAATTACATATTATATTATGCTTTAGGTATATGAACTTTGCAGGTAAATAGGAAATAGGATTTTGAGTGGAGCAGTGATAGGCATTAGCAGTATTTTGGAGGGGGCAGAGGTATGAACCTCGGTTTAGTAGGCAATATAGAGATTATGTCTAAAGTTGACAGATTCTTTATTTGTGTGCACCGACATTTGACCTTGTCTGTTGAGTCACTGAATCACCGTAATTTATATCCTCCTAAATGTTCTGTCAGGACGGGTCGGGAGGGAGTTGATTTAATATAGCAATTCAGTGTGGGGATTATGTCCAAAGTGAGCAAATTCTTTTTGTGCATCGACATTTAATTTTGTCTGTTGAGCCATTAAATCACCATAATTTACATCCTTTTAAGGGTCGAGGTGTGGGAACACTTGGGGGAGGGGGTTGATTTAATACAGCAATTCAATGAATCCATTCACCTTGTGCTTCTTCACCTACTTCTGTCAGGGTCATTTACTGAGATTCAAGACACTGCACATTTTTCTTCAAGCCATGCATTCACTCATTCATTCATTTATCCTATCTATACTAGCTAGCAGATAGCTAGGCTTTCCAAGTGTCTGTTTCTTCAACACCTTGGCTCATAGCTGGCTGGATACCATCAAAACCTCAGACCCAAGACGCCATTATAATACACCGAATTATGGACCAATATCCATTACTTAGTGAATATATCATCAATTCTAAGTTGGGATATTATTTATCTTACTTTATTATGTCCACTTCAAATATTATATTTATGTCTAATCTGTGCATGTAATAATGCTTAGCTTAATTTTAATTTACTCCCTGATATGATCGGCACTACTGAAAGCTACTTTTTTAAGTAGATTTCATGTCAATATAAATATCTACATCAAGATTTTGTGTATGGAATAAAATTTGAGAGTAAAAAATAGGAATACAGATAATATTTTCCTTTAACAAAAGGCGGACAGATGGAGGAAGCACAGTGAAGTTGAAAGCTGTCAAGCAAACAGGAAATGTTGATGATGAGTTGGATACAAGACAACCAAATCATCATCGTATCATACATACAATGGTCAAATATATGTACTTGGGAGCTGAGGAGAAAGACATGCAAGATAGTACATAGTAGATGCTTTTAGGGAAATATGGTAGACTATCTATATATCTATCTATCTCCATATTCAGCAATATGGTCTGATCTAAGGTGGTTTAAATTTATATTAAATGGTGTGACAATATAATAAATGCACATGCACCACATACAACTAACTACACACTACCTCACCTGTTTATATTTACTACTACTCTCTCCCCCACTCTTTATATACCCTCCCTTCCCTCCTTTGCTTCAATTCACTCCCATCATCTTCAACTCTTCTTTAGTTTCATTTGTCTAAAGATTGATGAGAATGGAGAGAAGTAGCAAACATGGTTCTCTGCTCCTATGGGCTACAATGGCTGCTTTGCTCTCTCAGAATTTGGTCGTCATTCCTGCCATTGCCGCCGCTGCTTTCAATGACCAAAAGAACTATTATTCTCCTGATCCCAATATTGGAACTCCTTCCACCCCCTCAGGTAGGTCTGGCCCTCAATTTTATTTTCTTATACTGTCACATTTTCGAGAACTATATATATATAGTGCTGGATTTGACTCTTTACTGGTCTCTGGGAAATTTTGATCTTACTTGTAGTAATGCACGCATGCATGCATAGTAGATGGATATGATATGATGTTGTAGTATATATATATATATACAGGTTCTCATGGTTCCGGTGGTCACCATGGAGGATCATCTTCTCATCATCACCACGGAGGCCACGGAGGTGGTGGTGGTAGCTATGGAGGAGGCAGTAGTCCACCCTCAAACTGCGGCACCCCGCCGAGTGGAGGCCATCATGGTGGAGGTAGTCATGGCGGCGGCGGCGGCGGTTACTATAGCCCTCCGACTACACCTTCCACCCCAAGCTACACTCCAACTCCTCCGACCATACCCGACATCCCAACCCCCACCACCCCCGATTCCCCAACCCCCATTGTTGACTCCCCACCAACTCCAATCGTCCCATCTCCGCCGTTTGGATTAGAACCAAGCACTCCCCCCTTCGGATTCGACCCAAACTCACCACCTTTCACCTGCGAGTAAGTAATAAATTATGGAATTTCCGACCACCTGAAAGTGATCGGAAAAATCTTTATTGCTATTTTCTACCATTTTTTGTTCAGGTGGTCGATGTATAGTAGTTAAGACTTAAGAGTATATATTTGGATATATCTGATCTCTAATATGTTGCAGTTACTGGAAGAGTCACCCTGGATTGATATGGGGGTTGGTGGGTTTCTGGGGAACTGTGGGCGGTGTATTTGGTGTGGCCAGCGTTCCGGCAGGGGAGTTCGGAACCAACCTGAATTTACTGCAAGCACTTTCCAACACCAGAAACGACGGCTATGGGGAGCTCTACAGGGAAGGCACTGCTTCTTTGCTCAACTCCATGCTTAACACCAAGAGGTTTCCTTACACCACCCAACACGTGAGGGACAGCTTCGCCGCCGCTCTCACTTCAAACACCGCCGCCGCAGCTCAGGCCAGGCTCTTCAAGTTGGCCAATGAGGGCCGTCTCAAGCCTAGATCACTCTGATAATAATCCAATTATTATTAATATAAGTCTTGTAATTTTCATCACGTACTGTATCAGTTTCTTCATTGCATTGCATTGTTTTAGCCTAGCTAGCTTCATTTCATCATCCAGATCGATCGAATTTCCTTTATTATTTTGAGTATGTATGCAATATCTATCAGATAGATCATATCGATCTGTCAATTTCCATTTAATTTAGTTAGTTATAATATATATATGAATTGAGTTAGAGAGATGGAGTTGAGATAGTAATTTCCTTAATATATAGGTGTAGAGTAAATGTGAGGGATCACCGTGTGTGAGAAGATAGCATGGGGATTGATGGCTTTGTCAGGATTTGGTTTACTATAAATCGGGTATAGAAGGGTAGTAAAATAGTACCCAATATGAGTAGTATTAAACCCTGGTGTTGCTGTTGGAAGATATTGGTCTAAATAATAAATAATACAAGTTATAGCACAAATAATAGACTAGAATTAAACCCTAGTGTTGCTGTTGGAAGATATTGGTGTAAATAATAAATAATACAAGTTATAGCACAAATAATAGACTAGAATTAAATCCTGGTGTTGCTGTTGGAAGTTTGGTTGTTATATCATGGACCATGGTCCGAAAGCGGGACCGTTTCTTTAAGTTAAGAAATGACCGTTATTAAATTTTAACAAATCTCATATTTTTGTGATGAAATTACATTGTGTCTAAAATGAAACTGAATAACTTATCTCGCATATTGTGTTTATATTATCAAATGAAACTGTAATTGAATTGAAATGATACTTTAGTTGTGTTGAAATGAAACTACAATATGTATAAAATGAAATTGAATAACATCTCTCACATATTTGTGTATATTGTCAAATACAACTATAGTTGAATTGAAATGATATTTTAGTTTTACTAAAATGAAACTACAGTATGTATAAAAAAAACTGAATAACATGTATCACATATTGAGTGTATATTTTCAAATGAAACTGTAGTTATATCAAAATGATATTTTAGTTGTGTTGTAATGAAACTACAGTGTATATAAAATGAATCTGAATATCAGTTTCACATATTTGAGTATATATTGTCCAATGAAACCATACTTAAGACCAATTTATTTTTTGATCTCTCCATGAATCGTATGTTTGTAACAATAGGGACAGAATTTTTTCAATTCTAATGGATTAGGCGTATTGTGCCGGTTCTTTTGAGTAATATATCTGGAAATGCCCGTTGATACCTTATTAACACCGTTTCGGACACAACTGGTACATTCCAAAATCACCGCCACTCGTACATCTTTACTCTTGGCCATGAACCTCCTTAATTATAATTATAGTTTAGGGGTGTTGTAATAAGAGTACAATGTGTATAACATGAAATTCAGTAACATGTCTCACTATACTGGCAAATTATGTTGTGCATCCGTATGCACCATGCATGGTGCACACGGATGCAAAAACGACGTCGTTTTATTAAAAACGCGCGTCTCACTTAAAAAAAAAAAAATCAGTTTCGATCCCAGCAACAATATTATATTGTGCATAATTTGAACTATATATATATCCAGAATCAATGAACTAAAATTCCAGAATTGATGAACTAAAATTTCAGAATCTATAAACTACAATTCCAGAATGAATGAACTAAAAATCCATAATGAATGAACTAAATATCCAGCATGAATGAAAAAAAAAAAATCAGTTTCGATTCACGTCTAAATATCCATAATCAATGAAACCATACTTGAATTATAATTATAGTTTAGTGGTGTTGTAATAAGAGTATAGTGTGTATAACATGTCTCACTATACTGGCAAATTATGATGTTCAATGAAACTGTAATTGAAACAAAATGGAACTCTAGTTGTGCTAAAATGAAACTACAATGTATATAAAATGAAACTGGATATGTTATACAAACGGAACTAATTATACGAAACAAGACTCGTTTCTTTTCATTAAAAGAAACGACATCGTTTTGGACCATAGTCCACACAGCTATGTAAACCATGGTCCAAAATAAAATTTGCCATTGGAAGTTAGGAACCCATACCAATTGACTAGCTTAGAGAGGATTGTGTGGACCCAGAAATGCCTTTTAAGGGGAGGCAATGGTACCTTATATAGTATTGAAGACCTTTCAGATGATTGACAAGTGTATGACATTGGCTAGCATTTATTCTTGACCATACATGTATCTCCTCACTATTTTGCTTCGAGCACACTTCCCATGCATAAGTGGAGCAAGATAAGTAGTGGCTTGGTGGCCTGATGAGTTAGGCCGTTGGGTTGTGTGTTGCTATGTGGATGTCGTGGGTTCAATACCTCCTTTATTACTTAGTTTATTTTGCTCTATGCTTACTTCTTCCTTAACAATAAAATGAACAACTCGGCCAAAATTTTTCCAATAAAATGATTCTTGAAGTCTCATGATCTCATGATCACCACTTTCTTTAATTGTAAAAATAACTTCGAAAAGTCTTTTTTCGAGTTTTCAAACCGATCTCTAAAAATCTAAAATAATAGAACTAAATTTAAAATGAGTTAATTCCAGCATTGGTCCTCTGACTATCATGATTTTTCATAATTAGTCCTTGACTTTTAATTCGGACAATTTAAACCCTTGACTATTAAAATGTTTCCAATGTTAGTCTTTCCGTCCCAAGCTAGTTAAGTGGACGTTAAAATAAAGGCTAAAATCGTCTTTTAACATGCCTTGCGTATAATACCTTGGAGAACTCCTCTCTATACCCGATAATACCACCGCTACGAGTTTGGTGGCAACGGTCTGCACCTTCGCCGCCACCGTGGAGGCGTTCATCACCACAACCGAATCTGTAATAATCGTGGTCGACATAGCAGTTCCGAATCCAAAACATTTTTCAAAACAATCAATTAATCAAAAAATTCGCAGAAATGAAAAAATCAAACCAGTTTCAAAGGTCGGAAGAAATTACCAGCAGAAGGCAAGATTAAATACACAGAATAAAAACCTCCAACAAATTATTACTGTCCACAGCAATTTAACTTTACAGCTCCATTAAAATTGTTCATTCTTGTGTTTGTTTGTTATGGTTGAATTGGGCTTTTGAATTAATGGAAGTGAATCATTGAGAGAGTATTGTCGGAGTTCGCAAAGTACAAAGATAAGAAGCAACACTGCTGAAATTTTGGGTACCCATTCTTAATTTTTTCGAGTTGAGCTTCATTCCAGCTCGACTTGTCGCACTAAACCCAAGTTCAATTCCTCCTTCGATCTATATATCTTCATCGCCCAAATTTTCATTTCCTGCGAAACCCATTTTCTTGTGATATCATTCTCCTAAAAACGCGTAAAACCCCATTTCGGATGCAGCAAGCAGATGCTTATTTCCGCCGAAATTAGTTAGCATGTTGAGCACAACCAGAGCGCTGCACAAGTGCGTCACGTTGTGGTTGCGAATCGTGAAATAGATTGGGAGCAGAGGTGGTGCCAGAGGTATAGTTCAGTACTATCGGGTCGTATTCGGTTATCAGGCGAATTCATTTGAAATTCGGGTTGCCCTTTTCAACCATGCCTTCATAGTTCATATGTCTTAACGAACTCTCCGCCGCTGCGCTCTGCCGGAAATTCATGATCGGCGATGAGAACAAGAGCGGGGCGTGGCGAATTCGACGGGAACAGAGACAAAGCTTCGATTGCCAAAAGACTGTTTATACGTATGGATTGAGGAGAACGAAGATGTATTATACGCACAGAGCATGTTAAAATACTCTTTTAGCCCTCATTTTAACGTCCAGTTAATCAGCATGGGACGGAAGGACCAACATTGGAAACATTTTGAAAGTCAAGGGTTTAAACTGTCCAAATTAAAAGTCGAGGACTAGTTTTGAAAAATCATGATAGTAAGAGGACTAATGCTGGAATAAACTCATTTAAAAATGTTGGAAGACTAATATTAACTTCTTGAGATGCTCCTCCCCTCCGCTGATAATATCAAATTTTCACGTACAGCCCCTCTGCTCTGCTCGTTGGTTTACAGTTTCAACATCGATCATTTGGTATTCGGTATGCAAACTCTTCTCTTTTCCTGAATTTCTTGCTTTTAATTGTTTATTTCTGGCCGGCATTCTGAAGTACGTGGTGCTTTTTGTTTAGTTCGACTTCAAAATTCAAATTATCTTCCCAAAGACCTAATTTTATTTTTCCGGTAGTTCTGCTAAAGTTTTTATTGGAATGAGATTCTGAGTGATCGGAAGACTAGACTAGTGGAGTGTTGGCAGGCATTATTTACTACTTAAAGGTTTCTTTCTTTCTTTCTGGATGAGATTCTGAGTATCCATAAGGCGGCGAGTGGAGTGTATGATTGAGTACGCGTTAGAAGAAGGGTAGAATTCAGATTAGAGAGAACGAACGAGGTGGATTAGGGTTAAGGTGTTGTAGGTAGAAGTGTAGAACCATGAATTTGATATTCTCCTCTGCAATAGCGACGTATAGATGTTTCAGCTCTAAGGCAGCAGCTGGGAAAAACAGAAATTTGGCTCAAAGGGCCATAAGCAGCAAGAAGGATTCTTCTAGGAATGAATCTTCTTCATCTTCTAAGCCGCCTAAAAAGAGGACTAGAGTAAAATGGACTGTGGAACAGTCACAAGTTTTGGATGCCATTTCTGCTGGGAAGTCAGTTTTTGTTACTGGGTCAGCAGGAACTGGTAAAACCTTTCTGATCCAGCATATCATCCGGAAGCTCCGAGAAATTCATGGGCGATCTCGGGTTTATGTCACTGCTTCTACTGGTGTCTCAGCGTGTGCCCTGAACGGGTACACCCTTCATTCTTTTGCTGGCATTGGGCTGGGTGAAGCTACAGCCGAAGAATTACTACACAAGGTTTGTTCCAATCGGAGGGTGCGCCACAGATGGAAAATGGTCCAGGCTTTGATTATTGATGAAATTAGCTTGATAAGTGGAGAATTGTATGATAAACTTGAGTTCATTGCACGCAAGATACGAAGTAGTATAAATGGATCCGATGAGGAGATGGTTTGGGGTGGTATTCAAGTAGTTGCGAGTGGAGATTTCTTTCAATTACCACCTATCTTTAATAAGAACACACAGAAATTTGCTTTTGAAGCTTCTAGCTGGAAACTGAGCTTTGACACTCAGATTGATCTTACTACAGTTTTTAGGCAATCAGATCCTCAGCTCGTAAAACTTTTACAGGGAATAAGGAAAGGGGAATATGATTTCGAGGACTTAAATCTATTGGAAAATCACTGCTCAAATTTGGAGCCTGATCCTTTAGCTGTAAAGCTCTATCCAAGGAATGATGATGTATATAGAGTAAACAAAAAGCACCTGGATAGCTTACATCAGGATCTTATTGGTTATCGAGCTGTTGACAATGGTGAGGATAGTTGGAAAGAACAGCTAAAACTGGGAATAGCACCTGATTTTCTTGAACTCTGTGTAGGCGCAAGGGTGATGTTGACAAAGAACTTGAATGCCCGGCACAAACTCGTGAATGGTGCTGCTGGTACTGTTATTGGTTTTGAATCGGTTAATGGTACTTATGAAACATTTGGCACTAACTGGTTACCTGTAGTGAAATTTGACTTTAAACCAAAAAAACTTATTATTCGTCCAGAAACATGGTCTATAATGGATGGTGAGGAAGTTGTTGCCGTAAGAAAACAGATTCCCCTCATACTAGCATGGGCTCTAAGCATCCACAAATGTCAAGGGATGACTCTAAACTGCCTTTATACAGATCTCAACCGAGCTTTTGGCTATGGGATGGTTTATGTGGCACTTTCACGTGTGAAAAGCTTGGAAGGTCTTCATTTGTCAAGTTTCAACCCTAATATTATAAAGGTGCACCCGAAAGTATTGAACTTCGATAAGAGATTGTGTAGTCAGCCGGATCAACCAAAGGAAGATGCTGTCACCAAAAAAAAACAAGGCGGCAGCAGCACGTGTAACCAATGAGTTGGCCGATCCTCACTCAAATCTTAATACAAGGAAATTATAAGATTTTTCTTTCATGATATGCTGTGGTGATATGAATGATAGGGCACCAACCCAACTGAATTGGTGACTACAGGATAAAGTACTCAATCTTCTTGATTCATGGCATTGCTGGAAAAATCATCAGATATTTTTTCCTTTTTCTTGGATTAAAACTTGGTAGAAAAAGACTAGCTTATAGGATACTTCAATAATAACCTCTGATTGTTAGCCTTCATATTTTCCTTCTGGGAGTTCTGGAACTTATGCCATTTTTCATAGTATACCATGCATTTTACTCTGGTACTTTTTGTATACAATCTTAGGAATACAGAAAATTAGCTGAACATATTAGAGAAGGGAAAATGGAAGATTGCTTATAAGATTTAATTATAGATTTTAGAAAGTACATCTGCTTCTATGATTGGAGTAGTGTTTTCTGTAGCATCATGCTAAAGTATCAAATATTTTTACAATCTGTTATGGCAATATGAGGAAGGAGGTAGGGTTGGTCAGGTAGCTTTATCCATTTCATTATTCCATTTCAGTGGGTTGAAAGTCAAATCATTGAAAGCTGACCTTACAGTTTACTAATCAGTGATCTATATCAGCTCTCAGGCATGCCATCAAGATCATTAATACGTGACACTGGTCACTATTGTCGGTTACTAGAGCAACCTCGTTAGTGAGTTTTTTTTTATCAATTTTTTTGTGAGCCTCAGCATTCATCTCATCATTCAGTATCTCATTCAATCTCAAAAATCATTCTTCTCATCAGTTTTAAAATTTTTCTTAGTTATTTTGGACCCATCATTTTATTTTACTATATTTTAATTATTATTTTTATTTATTATCATTATAAAAGTAATAAATACAATTATTATTTTTATTATATTTATTTAACTTAAACATGTCAAAATTAAAATAAATTTATAATTATAAAATTTCAATTCTTTTTTTTTTTAGAATAAAATTTCAATTCTAATAATATGGTATCAAAATTATATACTACAATTATATATATATATATATATATATATATATATATATATATATATATATATATATATATATATATATATATAAGAGGACAAAATTAAATAAGAAAAACTAAAAAAAAAAAAAAATTGGTTGTTGCACGGTAATCAATTTTTTTTTTTTTTAATAAAACAATGCATGCAGTAAGACTCAAAAAAAATTTGAGATGCAGCAGTCTTAGGGCCGTAGTCTTGGGATCAGGTGCTAGGTAGCGTAAGCATTGATCGCTACCCCGCTTAGGTGGGCACGTGTAACACACGCGCCCGCTGGGTGGGCGGTGAGAGACAAATGCACGAGAAAACTTGTTTTTATTTGATTGTTAAGCTTTTGTTATTTAATTGTTAAGCCTCCTTCTACACACAAAGTTGTGAAAAAAAGGTTGTGTTTGGTTACCATCTTTTAACCAAAACTCCTTGGCCCTTTGCTTCTAGTAATTGCTTCCAGTAAGGCAGTATGCATTTTGATGCTCAAGAGCCCTAAGATGTTGGTACTAAGCCTCCTTATCGTTTGTCCTCCCCTTCAAGATATCCATACGCTTGGCTCAATAATCATTCTAAAAGTGGTAAAACACCTCCCCCATTTCCAAACTGCCTCGCTACAATGTTGAATGCGGTTCAATAGATTAAATCCCGTTGACGATGCCCAGCTAGAAATGACCACTTCACGGCAAGTGGCCTCCCTCAATTATAGGTTATCAAATTTGAATTTGAGCAGGGCTTGGTGTATCAATTCATTTCTAAGTAATATACCAAATAATGAACTTTTAATACACAAGAAATGAATTTGCAAAAAATGAACATTTAATATATTAACAATGAACATTTAGTATATTAAAAACACACTTTATGTTATAGTTCATCTTATCAGGTGAATCATGACTCATATATAATGACTAGTATTTTTTATGCTTGATGTGCAAAAAATAGGTGACCAATATTGCGATGCGCAAAAAAATAAGTGCTCAATATTGGTAATTTATATTAAAATTTTAAATTTATTTAGATTTTAGATTTTTAAGTTATTGTAAATAATAATAATAATAATAATAATAATAATAATAATAATAATAATAATAATAATAATAATGTAAAATATTTTTATAAATTTGATATTTATATTTTAGGTAATAATTAACAAATAACTCCAATATGTATATATTATTATTAGTGAAAAAGATAAGAAAATATATGGTGGATGCATGTGCATGATAACAATAGTGAAAAAGATAACGGAAGTTATAACGATAGAGGTATGTTTGTCCAAAATATTGTAAAGTACAACTTTTATAGCATAATGTATAAAAAACTTAACGGAAAAAACGGACATAAATGAAGGGTATAACTTTCATTCACACTTATTATGTTTTTATATTATATATTATATTTATATTTATTTATTATTTAGATTGTTAGAGAATTGTATGAATGGAGGGTGAATACTGAATTGTTGATTAATTGTAAATTGAGTGATATGATAATATGTCTCACTTTTAAAAGCAAGAGAAGATTTATGGTGTGTTTGGTTCGCACATGGGAATCAGAATTAGAATGGTAGAATGAGAATGATTAGGCTAAGAATGAATAATGGGATGAAATTTTTATAAAATAAGGGAATAAATTTTTATATTAATGAAGTATTCCAAACCTATAGTAGTATTTTATCAACCAAACAATAACAATCACTTTCATATCTATACCTGAGTGCTAAACTTGCCAACCAAACACACCTGTATCCTGTATCCAGATAGAATAATGACGGAATTGACATTTTAACCATTGATAAATTGATAAAAGAGAAAAAAGAAAAAAGAAAAAAAAAAGAAGTTAACATCAACAACTACTCCGTACTACCGATATTCTACATTGCAGTGAACATCACTACAGTGGAGCCGGAGCCATCTAGGGTTATATTCCCTCCCTAGCTTTCGGTTTCTCTCTCCTCCATTGACGACGACGACCGAAAGCAACGACCACAACCGAGATTCATGAACTCTGAAATCTTCTGATTGCAAGTCCGTGTCATAAAAAGAATCGTCAATATTTTGTCCACAATGGAGCCTGAACATTCCAACGACTCTCAAGCTGAACAGCTCAAACTCCGAGCCAATGAAGCCTTCAAAGGTACAAACTTTATCCCGCTCTCCTATAAATGTACACTCTTGTAATGATGGAATAAACTGATTTTTTTTTTTTTCTTTTGAACTTAAAGCGCATAAATTTGGGCAAGCTATTGATTTGTACACACAAGCAATTGAGTTGAACAGTAAGAATGCGGTTTACTGGGCTAACCGTGCCTTCGCGCACACTAAACTGGAGGAGTACGGTAGTGCTATACAGGATGCTACCAAAGCTATTGAGGTTGACCCTAAATATTCAAAGGTAAGTTCTGAATCATAGAGAAAGTGTTGTCATTTGGATTTTTCAAGTTTTTATTTTTTAATAGGTTCTCATTGAATATTCTAGGGGTACTATAGACGAGGTGCTGCATATTTGGCGATGGGGAAGTTTAAAGATGCACTCAAAGATTTTCAGCAGGTTTCTTCTTCTACTACTATATATTTTTTTTTTCCTGTTTCAGCTTTATTGCCTGAAATGTATTTCTTCCACTTTCATGGCTCTCTGGAGCTGTTTATGGCCATGGTATAATGATTTATGAAGTTTCAAGTTTTACAGACTAATTTTTCATTTTTTCAACAAACTAAAGCAGCTCTTTAGTTAAATCTGATATTACAAGACAAGAAATTTGCCTATGCAAATTAAGTTTGATGGCCTTCAATTGTGTTTTTTGCATGGTTCCTTGCAAATGCAGAAAATGATAATTCAGAGATTGGGATACTCAATGCAACTGATGGTCTCACTATGTGTATCTCAGCATTTTCTTTCTCATTTCTCTGTTGATTTAGGTCAAGAGATTATGTCCAAATGATCCTGATGCTACGAAGAAATTGAAGGAATGTGAGAAGGCTGTGATGAAGCTTAAGTTTGAAGAAGCTATTTCTGTACCTCAATCTGTGAAACAATCAGTAGCCGATTCTATTGACTATCATTCTGTAGGTATGGCAGCTAATATATAAGCAATTATCCTTGTGCTATGTTCTGTTTTCCTTTAGCACAAACTCAAATTTTAAAACTTAGCCAGAAGTACAAGTGCCTGGTGGTCTGAAGGAAATAAGGAACTTACTTCTATTAGGATTTCTGCAACATGCCTTTTCATTTGTATCGCTTATTTGCTCTAATTCTTGCTGAGACATCACTGATTGCTGTCATGGGTGGGATTTATGTTTGATTTAAGAAATGCAATTAGTGGATGATATAGAAAGATATCGTTCTGTGATCTCATAAGTCATAACGACTATTCTGGTCATGCAAATGTTGGTCGTTTAATGTCTATTGTCTAATTTGTTGAAACAAGTATTTTAGCATCAACATATACTGAATATGAGGCTTGGTAGTGGTGTTACTGGTGTCTGAAGTAAAGTCTGGTGTATTTTGGCTTTATTTAGCCTTTTCGTTTACTCTTGCAGAGGGTACTTAGTGAGTTGGTGCTTCTTTTGGATGACTCCTTCAGCTATTAGCTGGAAGGATTACACTAGCCAAAGACCTTGTAGTTCTAGTGGCTTAAGCCTGTGACTCTAAGTAGAAGGCATCAGGTTTAATCCCTGTACCCCAGAAACAACCTTCTATAAAGTCAACTTCAACTTTTAAACGATTTGGTTGGGTGAGTGGGTTGGGGGGGGGGGGGGGGGGGGTGCTACATAGTGGTTGGTTGAAATACACACCCTATGTTGGGACTTCAGTATAATATTAGTCTCTGAAGACTTTAGCTTTCTAGTTATAATTACTCTATCTGGTAGTACTCAGAATTTAATGGTGTTCTAAAGTGCACTAAAAAAATACTCCGTATTTGGAACAGATTCTAGTTGGGGATTGGTTGTCACCTTTTTATGTCATTTTCTCCTACTAATGAGCGGGGTTTAAGAATTTAATGCTATAATATTCCTACAACCATGGGTCCTGGTTTGGCTTCTTAACGATTTTGATCAAGTACTACATTCTTTAATTTTATCAGGAAAAGAGTAATATATTATTTAACCTATTCAGAAGCAAGATCTCCTTCTTTTACTCTAGTCAAATTTCACTATGTTCATATTCTATATGTCCTACCATTTATTCTTATAGAAGTATGTGTTAGCAGTAAAACATTTATCTATTTTAATGTTATAGGGTCAGGCCCTGGCTACTCATATGTTTCCACCAAAGTAACTGCTGTAGCAGCGGCAGTAGCACTAATGGCAGTACTGGTGGTATATATGGGATCTACACCAGCCACAGGGGTGGTGGCAGCAGCTTTGGCAACAGTATTGGTGGTATTGGGAACATTTTGGTGGGGTCGCCTCAATCTCAGTTTCTTTACCAAGAGTCAAACAGTTGAATTAGGTTTGAGCCTTTAAGTATAAACTATTAGTTAATAGATGACCAACTTTAGAAGAAAATATCAGCGAAATGACGACAAAACACCCAACTGACAAAATCAACCATAAATCATGTTCAAACTAAACTCGATCCTATCTCTTTGTCAGTCATGTATTCTCAATTTCTTGGGATGGGTGATATAACAACTTTTTGCTTATTAATTGAGAAGAGCAGTTAATTTCTAAAGTATAGTGTGAACTATTCTCTTTTGATTTTTCTGATAAGTGCTATATTGCCTGCATACTAAACTTTGAAGTTCTAGCAAATCTTATTTAAATTATTAGTTGCATATAAAACTATTGTGTTCTTAATAAATCATTCCACCTGCTTTCAGTAGTAGAGAGAGTATATTTGATTATATATATATTCATAATTTTTTGATAGCCAGTTTCAAGCTAGACCTTTTCTCATGTATTATGTCTAATGCTATATAGATTCTCCTGAATAGCTTCTCATTTGAATTTTTGTTGGTTCTTTTGAAATAAGAGTAGTCAATAAATTGCTAAAACATATTAAGAAACCAACCAGTGTTGTTTCCCTGGAATTCACTTACTTTTCTGTTTTACACTTGTAGAAGTGGAGCCACAGTATACCGGTGCAAGGATAGAGGGAGATGTTGTAACTTTAGATTTTGTGAAGAAAATGATGGATGACTTCAAAAACCAAAAGAATTTACACAAAAGGTATTGCCATTTATCTATGTAGTATTTCTCTCATCTTTGAACCTGCAGACTGCTTCTAATTTCCACTGTTTCATGGATTTTATTTTGTAGATATGCGTACCAAATTGTTTTACAAACACGCGAAATGCTGCGATCATTGCCTTCGCTTGTTGACATTGAGGTTCCTCAAGGGAAGCATTTTACTGTATGTGGAGATGTGCACGGCCAGGTAAGAATCTGTTAGTGATTGCTGCACTATTCTGTTTCTTTATTGTCATTTTCATTATACTGTCTTTTCCTCTTTTTGTTGTCGTACTCTCCTTACATTTGGCATGTTTCTTTTAATGTTACATATATACTTGCAAGCCTAATCTCTGCTGGATCCTTAAAGGACCTGAGAAAAGTTTTCATTTTTTTTTTAATTTACCATGTATGTGCCATAGCAGAGTGATATATAGTTTATGTTACGACTCTGGTTCTGTATAACTTTCATCCTCATGGAGAAGCTTAACTCGAAATGTATGTAGTCAAACATCTAGGGTGGGGGATTAAGCAACATACTTTTGAAAGATATGGTATATGTGGATCTTGAGTTAAATGGTAACAAATATAATACGTATGGCTAATGGCTGTACGCATTTATCTTAAAATTGTAATTTGAAAAACTGACCATTTGGGTGCTTTGTTTGTTGTGTTGGGCATTTGGCTATGCAGTATGCACACTCTCTTTTGGTGGTTTAAGGAGTAATTATTTATTTGTTTGGGGGAAATGGTGGTTGGCCTTACATTACTGATTCATGTTCTGACCTTTTAAAATGTGCTTGCAGTTTTATGACCTTCTAAATATTTTTGAGCTCAATGGGCTTCCATCTGAAGATAATCCATACCTCTTCAATGGTGACTTTGTTGACAGAGGGTCTTTCTCTGTTGAAGTCATATTGACACTGTTTGCTTTCAAGTGCATGTGTCCATCAGGTAACCCAGGCACCCATTGGCCATTTCTATTATTGTTTGCTTTCAAGTGTGTGTGCCTTTCAGCTACATTTTCTCAAGTGGATCGTTGCATCTCATTTAGCTGCTAAATTTCCAGCTATGTATCTCTCTCGAGGAAATCATGAAAGCAAGAACATGAACAAGATATATGGTTTTGAGGGTGAGGTCAGGTCCAAATTAAGCGAAACTTTTGTGGAACTTTTTGCGGAAGTATTCTGCTGTTTACCCTTAGCTAATGTGATAAATGGGAAGATTTTTGTTGTCCACGGAGGGCTTTTTAGTGTTGATGGTGTGAAGCTCTCTGATATTAGGGCAATTGATCGGTTTTGTGAGCCACCAGAAGAAGGTATGGTCCATGAAAGTATTAATATGTGTGTGTGTGTGTGTGTTTTTTTTTTTTTCCCCCTGCATGAAACAAGTTTGGGGTTGGTGGTTTGAGTTCTCTGTTTCCATCTGTGAGAAATAAGCAAGTTGGTAGTATACTTGAATTTCTTAATGCGAATGGAGCTACTATAATCTTTTGCGTTTAAGGAGTTTCAAGGTTCATCTGTAATGTTCATCAATATTATGATGTTTAGTGGAAGCCTTTGTTTCTAAGTTTCTATTTATTAGGCATTTTAGATGCTAAAATCTTTTTAAAGTAGTATGGTGTTTTGAAAATCTGCAGCAGGCTCTTGTCTAAGTCAAATTGTTCCATACTTCTTGGTTTAATATTTCCAGGGTTGATGTGTGAACTTTTGTGGAGTGATCCACAACCTCAACCTGGGAGAGGACCTAGTAAACGTGGTGTTGGTCTCTCATTTGGCGGGGATGTAACAAAAAGATTTTTGCAGGACAATAATCTAGGTACTTTTGTTTTCCTCTTCTTGCCTTACTGAGCAGTGGAAGTGGATTAGAATTTCTCTTTCTGCCTTTATTGTCTTGAGATTTCATATCGTATTTAGAAAATGAAAATTCTTTATATACTTATTTCAGAGTTAGTTGTGCGATCTCATGAAGTAAAAGATGAAGGGTATGAGATTGACCATGATGGTAAACTCATCACTGTGTTCTCTGCTCCAAACTACTGTGATCAGGTACTCTGCTTCTGAGTTTTCTTCTTCTCGATAACTTGTTTAAGCCTTTAATGTGACTCTCGATGGATTACTTGTAAAACTTTACCACCTATGTTTTTAGAACTTACTGCACATAAAGTGATACCTCTATATTCAAATTTTTCGGGGATGCTCTAAAGTAATTCTTGGTGATCCATTTGTGTCCACCTCAACCAAAGAAATGGATCTAGCAGTATGCCGTGTGCTGTATAACTTTATTTAGAGAGTTCCTGTGTATTGTCGTAGAACATCATCTCCAGTTCAATCTGACGTTCTTGGCCTTGGTTTCTGTTAAATGTTAATGAATCTGGTAGAATGCCTTGTTTTCCTTTCAATTAGGTTTTTTTCCTAGTAAACTGCATCTTTTGTCATGTTTTCCTGTTAAATGACTCATTTACTGCTTTGATACTCTTGCAATCACTTGTACAAGATTTGCACTGGAAGTCTGGAAGAGTACAGCTGACTTATCTATTGAGCATCAAATTGAACACATCATATTAATTTTACAAAGTTTCTTCATTAATCTTCGGAATGCATTAAATATAAGATGGGATGGATATCGCTACTATATATCCTAAATGTGATTTCGGAAATGGTGCAGATGGGTAACAAGGGAGCTTTTATCCGTTTCCAAGCTCCTGAGCTTAAACCAAATATTGTCACATTTTCAGCTGTGGTAAGCCTCTAGCTTCTCAATGCATTTTATCAGTTCTCAAACCGTAGAGATAAACAAAATTTACAAGTTTAACTTATTTGCTGTTTGTATGAAAATGAAATTCCAGCCACACCCTGATGTCAAGCCAATGGCATATGCCAACAACTTCCTTCGGATGTTCTCATAGTCCCCAAGCATAACGGATTTTGCAAGCTGCTGGCAGAGAGCGGAGTTGTCCTGAAAGGCGGGTGAAGGTAGGGCTGGCTCGATCTTGTTGACTATACAATTCTCTAGCCGATATTTTTTGGGACTTTCCTCACTGCTTATAAGAATTGTCACAGATTTTGTTTGTGTTGAAAGAAAATATAGGTTTAGTTGTAATAGCCCGCCCAAATAACAAGATCGTCAGGAATGTATTGCCACTCTGTTTATCTGTATCCATTTGTGCAAGATTGTTATTGATCGATATATTATGATTGGCGTAAACCGATCCGGAAAAGCGGAGCAAGGAAGTATGAAATGGACCCGGGGCCTTGAGGTTGAGCCCCGTGCTCGGCCCAAGGCACTTCGGCCATAATGGGCTCGGCCATGGTGATCTCGGCCGCATGAGGTCGGCCATATGAGCTCGGTCCTATGAGTTCGGCCATGTCGAGCTCGGCATGGCTGACCTGCGGACTCGATCTCAACCCGGGCGTGGTCAAAACGGGAGATGCAACCACCCTAAGTTTAGGTGGGGTGGTTGGGGGGTTTGGCTTGTATAAAAACCCTCTACAATGTCTCATTAAGACACGTTCACTAATTTTATTACTATTGTCTTAACAAATCATTGTAATAGCCTGTCTATTAGGCTATTATTATAATACGATATACGGTCCTTGCGATTTTATGACATCGTTTTGCCTATCTATCTATTTCATATATACGTTCTTATCGGGTTTAATTAATTTGGGTTCACCTCGGTTAATTAAATCCATTAGTTATATTTCTCATTGGATGTGAAGAATCCAAATCATTTTTCCAAAAGTAGAATCAGTTTTAAACTTTCATCTTCACTAACAGGGCGTTTGGTTGGAGAGGGGGAATTACGTGGGAAAGGAAGTGCAATTTCATGGGAGATGAATTACTGAAAATAAAGTGGGAATTTAAATTCCAGTGTTTGGTTTACAAGAATAGAATTATTAGGAATTTCAATTCCAATGTCTGGTATACATGGGAATTGAAAGGGAATAAGTATAAGTAGTATAAAGTCAAAAATGTTCATTGTTGTTGTTAGACATTAATTTTAGGTTAAAAAAGGAATGCGTAATTTTGACTCATCAGTATTTTTTTTTTCTTCCTAAAATCCCATGAATTAAAATCCCAAAGGGGAACATGGGATTTTAATTTCATGAAAATGGAGGAATTGCAATTCGTTGGGAATTTTGTGGCCTTTGGAATTAGGTGGGAATTTAAATTTCCTTCAACCAAATGCCCTTTAACGTGTAGTCTGCAATTGTTTCTTTGGAGTGTTTGGCAATTAGCTAAAAGCTTTAGCTGATTGTGTTAATTGTTTGGTTTAGCTGATAATATGCTTGTAAATTAGTTGTTTACCATTCGGAAAATGGTCGAATAGACCTTGAACTTTAGGCAAAAATGTAATTAGGTTCTTGAACTTTAAAAATGTGCAATTAAACACTTGAACTTATTAAAATGTGTCGGATAAGTCCGATTTATTGGTAATCAGCAGGTTACCAGTAATATTATTGACGTTGACCATTGTTGACCATCGCTAACCACCATTAAAATCTTAAAAAGCAACTTCTGGGCGTAGAGAGGACAACCAGATATGGTCGTCTTCTCCACCGGAGAAGACGACCGAACAGTGTTCCTCTCCGGTTAGGTTATCTATTTTTTTTTTTTAAATTTCTGTTGTCATATTTTTTTTTGTCAGAATTATTATTGAAAATGTCGCCGGAATCTTTTTGACCGGTTATTCCAGGTGAATAATCGGCTATTAGGTTTAGACGCACCAAAATAACAAGTTCAAGTGTTTAATTGCACTTTTAAAAAATTCAATGACCTAATTGCACTTTTGCCTAGAATTACTATTATTATTATATTATTATTATAACAAATAATATATGTGTTCATTTTCAAGAAAATGAACCAAACAAAAAAAAAAAAAAACTTACAATTTATTAACTTTCAGCCAAATAAAAAAAAAGTTTTCTAACATTCAACCAAAAAACAAAAAATTAAAATATTTTTTAAAAAATGAGTCATTTTTTGAATTTTATTTTTTCGAAAAATATTTTCAAGTTTTCAAACAGATCCGTAGAGTGATAAATTTTAAATGATTTTCATCTTTCTAGACTTTCATCAACTTTGTACGAGTCTATACAAGTCTATAAGACAAGCATTTATAAACTTTTTCATATTAAAAAATTTACAAAAGTTATGTTATTGAAAATTCTAAATTGAATACACCCTTACAAACATTTCATAACTTTTACTATTAATACATTATTTATAATTTCCTTACAAAAACAATTATAATATATAATATATTTTTATGTATGTATAACACTCAGAATTATTAACTATATACATACACACGATGAAACATATAGCAAATAGAAGAAAATTCCCCAGTAACAAAACTCTATATGTATGCATATACATGTCGAAATAGAATAATACCTAGAATATCATAACATCACCATACGTGTCAAGATGCAATTCTTTCGATAAATAGTGCCGTTATTCTTTATAATGGGAGGAGATAATTTTTTTTTTAAAAGATATTTATAAGAGAGACTTCTAACTTGATTCTAAAAGGATAACTATATAAATGAAGGGAAAAAAATAATCATATCCTTTAAGCTAGATTTACTTTCGTTAATATCATAGAATTAACTAAGTGGCTTATGGTCCACTAGTATTGGATTGTTTCCCTAAGTGCGAGGTGATAGGTTTGAACCTCACTTGAGGCAAGTAGTGTGTATATATAGGGTATCCCCCTTCCTTATAATAAAAAAAAATATATCATGGAATTAGATTTCTAGTTGGTCAAAACTTTCTCTAAGAAATTGGTCTTGGCTATCAAACGCCCTATATATTCAAAGTTCAAACTATCACGTATATCTATTCTAACTAAAAATATGAACTCAAAAAACATTACATGAGTCTAATATGTACGGTAAATCAACTAGTATAAGACAAAAAATGTGTCTATAGTTGTTGTTTGCAACAATAATAAAATTTTTGCTATGATTTTTTTTATAGACATGTGTGAAAGACAAAGAAAAAAGTTTGAAGTTAGAGAATTGGATTTCAACTATTTATATTTGTAAAGGAAAAATCTATAGAAATCCCATCCCATAATAATCTAAAAACATATTTCAATCTAGTTTATATCCCTGATTTATGTCTATTTTTTCTGTTAACATATTTTTTGTACCTTATGCTATAAAAATTGTACTACATAATTATTTGGACAAAAATATCACTATCGTTATAACTTCTGTTATCTTTTGACATTATTATTAGCATGCACATGCATACACAATATTTTTTTCTTACATTTTTCGATGGTAAGTTTAATTTTATTTAGATTTTAATTAAATGTTACTAAAGTTATATTTACTAATTTATCATTTCTGTAATTCTTACTTCAATAATATAGATATGAATTCTACAATTATAAATAAATAAATAAATACACACACAGACCATTATTTAAAAAATATTTTAATATAACTAAGATTTTAACATTTAGTGTTAATATTGGGCATATATATTTTTGCACATCGCATATATAAAATACTAGTAAAGTATATAAAAATTAATAAATTTTTGAGTAACAGTAAAATTTTAAAGAGTTTAGAAAAGTTCAAATTGAATATCAGTATGAATCGAATACTTGTAAACTATTAAAGAATCTTTAAAAATTTAAATTAAATACATACAAACTTTTAATGTTATTAAAAAAGGGAAAATGGCACTTCTTCCCCATAAGTTATATACTTATAGCACTTTCTCCCCCTGAATTATTCAAGTGGCTGTTTTTCCCCCTGAAATGTTAAATGGACATATTTACCCTTAAAATAAATATTTAAAATAAATATTTCATTTATTTTCCTTCTCCAACAAATTATGACAATAATTTGGTTCAAATCAAACAAACACTATAGCAACCAAACCGAAATATTCCAATTACAATTTAGAATCGAAACTCGATATTTAGAGTTTATTAAAATCGCGAACCGGAACGGATGATTCATGTACCGAACTGAAAAAATAAAATATATTTATTATTGAATTTAGACTATTTAAAATAAAAAATAAAATTTTAAAATAAAGACGGTTCAAAATTGCGAACCGGATCCAGAACCGCTGATTCACGGTTCAAGATCTAATTTTTTTTATTCATAATTGTAATAAATTGAAATCCAAATATTAGGTTCTAGATTTGAATCATAACCAGAAACTTTTAATTCAATTGCTATAGTGTCCGGTTCAGTTTGATCTGAACCGTGGTCATCCCTACATATACGCGATAATTTGTTGGAGAAGTAAAATAAATAAAATGTTTACTTTAAGGGTAGAAATATCAATTTAATATATCAGGGGGAAAAACCACCACTTTTAGAATAATTGAGGAGGCTAATGTGCTTATCTAAATAATTGAGAGGAAAAAATGGCTATAAGTATATAACTCAGAAGGAAAATGTGTCATTTTCCCTTAAAAAAATTTAAAAATTTATAAGTCTCAATTGAATATACTTCCTAATTTGAAAAGAAAAGAGTTTTTTAAAAGTTGGAAAAGAAAGGGAAAATGGCACTTTTTCCCCCTAAGTTATATACATATAGCACTTTTCCCCCTTGAATTATTCAAGTGGTTGTTTTTCTCCCTAAAATGTTAAATGGACATATTTACCCTTAAAATAAATATTTCATTTATTTTTTTCTCTAACAAATTGTGATCACAAGTTGGTTCAAACCAAACAGACACTATATAAATCAAACCGAAATATTCTAATTACAATTTAAAATCGAAACTCGATATTTAGATTTTATTAAAATCGTGAACCGGGACGACCGGTTCATGGTCCAAACTGAAAAAAATAAAATACATTTATTGTTGAATTTAGACTATTTTAAAATAAAAAATTAAAATTTTAAAAATAAAGACGGTTCAAAATCGCTAACCGGATCTAGAACCGCCGGTTCACGGTTCAGGATCCAATTTTTTCGATTCATAATTTTAATGAATTGAAATTAAAATATTGGGTTCTGGATCTGAATCATAACCGGAAACTTTTAATTCGATTGCTATAGTGTCTGGTTCAATTCGAATCGAACCGTGGTCATCCCTATGTATACGCAATAATTTATTGAAAAGGAAAAATAAATAAAATGTTTATTTTAAGGGTAGAAATGTCAATAAAATATATTAGGGGGGAAAACCGCCACTTTTAAAATAATTGATGGGGCTAATGTGCTTACATGAATAATTCAAGGGGAAAAAGTGCTATAAGTATATAACTCAGGGGGAAAAGTGCCATTTTCCCGAAAAGAAATTTAGGCTATTATTTCATAAAAGTTATGCGGTTTGAATATTTCATATTTGTATGGAATTGGGATTTGGGAAGGCGAAAAACGTGTACGTTGGACACAAAATAAAAAGCGAAAACATAATCGTCTTTTACTTCCCATCTCCAAAAGCTATTCGCCATTACCGTTTCCATACTCTACAACTACCAAAAACTATCTCAGAGAGAGAGAGAGAGAGAGAGAGAGAGAGAGAGGGAGAGAGAATACTCGATTAGATATGGAGAGTGGAGATTGCTCAACCGTGGCTCGCGGCCGCTTGGCGGTGCTTTCGGCTCACCTTGCTGCGTCGGCTTCCATTAATCACCACGCCCCTGCTCTCGAAGCCTCGGTTGTATCAGCGACTGGTTTGGCGCCACCGCCGAATCTCAGAGGCTTCTTGACAATAATCGATGAGCGGACTGGTCAGAGATATCAAGTTCAGGTTTCCGAGGAAGGCACTGTTAAAGCCACTGATTTGAAGAAGGTGAGAACCAAATCTAATAGGAACGTAAAAGCTTTCAACTTCGATTGCTATTAGTCTATTCGTGATAATTATTTTGCTCGTATGATTTGCAACGACGATTGTAAATGAATAAAATAGGTATACACCTTTTAATTTTTAGCTTTCTTTTAAGAATGGGGCAGATCGCGTTTACATAAATAAAAGAGGTAAAGTTTCTGGTGTTTTATATTTTAATAAAAATTGTAGATATAGTTATGGTATTAAACTATACAAGAAAAAAAAAAAAAAAAAAGAAGAAATATTGTCTTAAGATAATCGTGTTCTTGTTTTGATCGGGAATCTGTTGACTTTTCGCAATTTTTTCATGTGTAATTAATTTGCAGATAACAACAGGCAAGAATGATAAAGGTCTCAAACTATATGATCCGGGCTACCTTAATACAGCTCCAGTACGGTCATCAATATCCTATATAGATGGTGATGCAGGGATTCTTAGATATAGGGGTTACCCAATTGAGGAATTGGCTGAGAAAAGTTCCTTCTTGGAAGTGGCTTATCTTTTGTGTGAGTATTTCTGTGTATTGGGATTCTTCCAACTTAATTTAGAAATTATTATTAATGTAATGACCAATTATTTAACTCTTTAACTTCTAAAATTTGATTAATTGATTTTTTTTTCTCAGTGTATGGTAATTTACCATCCCAGCATCAATTAGCAGATTGGGAGTTTGCTGTTTCACAGCATTCAGCTGTGCCTGAAGGAGTCTTGGTACACTGCTTCCATTTTTATTTTTTTTTGGTGCAAGATTAATGATTCCCCTTTTCTTTTTAATGTATAAAATGATCTCAACTTCCAATTTTGATATTGTGTATGTGCAACTTCATTTCCTTCACTAAAATCACAACAGATCTATAACCAAATATATTCCACTTCATGTAGTGATTTATCTATTCAGATTTCTGATTGCATATAATTTCTTTATCCTTCTTTCTAACATGCACACATTTTGTCAACTGATTATGGTTCGGTTAAAGTTTTGAGTATGTTTCACTTTTCTCTAAGTCAGCTTTCATGCTTGCTAAATTGAGTAAAGAATTTTCAGATTTTTATCTGCTTCTAGCTGCAATGCGTTCTCTAAGAATTTTTTAAAAATAAGTTTATTAAAAGAATTAGTTTGTCATCAATGAAAAGTGTTATAGTAAGATTGGTTCTTGGATGATTGGGCTGTGTCTTGATTTTGAGTTTTCTAAGATGTTCAAAATATTTTTGGTTTTTTTAATTTGCATCAATGCAAGTACTTTCCTGAAGGAGAAAATGAAATAACTAAGGGTGTGATAAAAAGGGGTGCAAGAAATGCTTCCCTTTTCTTCATTAGCCTAGTATTATAGTAACTCCTACTTGTGAAATGATTATCCAATGTTTATCACTTTTATCTACCTAATTCTATGAAGTGTTCAAAGTCTATATTTTAGGTATCACTCCTACTTGTGAAATGATTATCCAATGTTTATCACTTTTATCTACCTAATTCTATGAAGTGTTCAAAGTCTATATTTTAGGTATATTCGACATTTTTATGATAACATTATATTTTGCATGTGCAGGATATCATACAGGCAATGCCTCATGATGCTCACCCAATGGGTGTTCTTGTGAGTGCTTTGAGTGCTCTTTCTGTCTTCCATCCTGATGCTAATCCAGCTCTTAGAGTAAGTAAACTGTTAACTTCTCATCCACAATTGGACAGTCTATTACCCTGTAGGATGGTAGCACAAGTTTGTAATAAGTCTTAGGTGTCTGTATTATGTAAATGATGAAAATTTCTCATGGAGAGTTTCTGTCTTGTTCCTACAATAATTTTCATTGCATTGCTAGGTCTTAGGGTGGCTTTTTATACTTGATTGAACTCGACATATGCCTTTTGCCATTTTGACTCCTTTATTTGATAACAAGTCACCTATGTTTTTTTCTTGAATAAAAAGTGCCTATTTGGTATCAAGAAAGTGAAGTCACTTGTTATAAGCCTTATGGGTTTTAAACCATATAAATATCTCATAGGTTTTAAAAATCCCTAACTATTCTGCACAGAGGTTCTGTTTTGCTCCTACAATAATAATTATCATTGCACTCCTAGGACTTAAGGTGGCTGATTATACTCGAGTGTGATGGGTGATTGAACTTGACATTTGTGTTTTTTCCATTTGATCCTTTTACTTGATAATAGTTCACCTATGTTTAATAAAAAGTACTCCATACTTATTTGGTATCATGAAGTTGAAGTCACTCCTCTATAGTAGAATGCTGAGTTCTTCCTGATTCTCTGTTTAGGCTGTCTGGCTTTGCAAATTATTGCTTGAGTGATGATTATACTCTTTCCTATTGTTCCTCTTTATTTGTTTTGTTACAGGGCCAAGATATATACAAGTCTAAACAAGTAAGAGATAAACAAATAGTCCGCATCCTTGGGAAGGTTATTTCCTTTGCTTTCCTTTTAATTTTCATATATAATTTTATTGGCTTTAAAAGCTATAGATGAATTGAGTTGTTTAAGTTCAACCCCCCCTTAAATTACATGCAATTGCATTTACAGGCACCAACAATTGCTGCAGCTGCATATTTAAGGTTGGCAGGGAGGCCACCTGTTCTTCCTTCCAACACTCTATCTTACGCAGAAAATTTCTTGTACATGCTAGATTCATTGTAAGTTATGTTGCCTTGTTCTTTCAGTATAATGTTCAACAAATTCAAGGGTGTTTCTTGAATTGGTCTAGAATGTTTCTTAGTCTTCTTTCCATGGTTGACAATCAAAGATAAATAAAGCTTTTACAGTTGCATGCTAGTGTTATTTATGTTTTCTCATTTTATGTTGAAGAATTATGGTCTACTTTGGTAAAAGAGTCTTTTTGGTTCTAAATTGCCAGTGTTTTGCAAAATGCAGAGGTAACAGGTCTTACAAACCCAACCCTCGACTTGCTCGAGCACTTGACATTCTTTTCATATTGCATGCCGAGCATGAAATGAACTGCTCTACAGCTGCTGCACGGCATCTTGCCTCAAGGTAGAGGTTTTAATGTCTTTGATTAATTGTTCATGAATGTTGTGTGACTTACATACTTCTGCACCTGCAGTGGTGTTGATGTGTACACAGCTCTTGCTGGAGCAGTTGGAGCTTTGTATGGTCCTCTTCATGGAGGAGCAAATGAGGTGCATTGAGCTTTATTTACTAATTTGTCCAGGGCTGGATGCTTTTCTCTGTTATGTATAGTTAATATATAATATTGTATCACTTGGTTTTTAGGCTGTGCTTAAGATGCTCGGTGAGATAGGTAGTGTTGACAATATTCCTGAGTTTCTTGAGGGTGTTAAGAACAGGTAATATTCTTTCCTTGGTAACCACCTCTCGTTTTTCAGGATCTGTTGGTGTATTTTTTTGTTAGATGTTGATTTGTCTTTTGGCTTCTTAGGAAGCGCAAGATGTCTGGCTTTGGACATCGTGTGTACAAAAATTATGACCCCAGAGCTCGAGTCATAAAAAAGCTATCTGAAGAAGTGTTTTCCATCGTTGGACGGGATCCATTGATTGAGGTATGGTTTCTCTGTTTTCTTAAATAATCGCATTCTATCCCCTCTTTTCTGCAAGTATTGTGACACACTGCCGTGATAGCATAGAAGTTGATGAGTATATTCTTGGATCTTCAGGTGGCTGTTGCCTTGGAAAAGGCTGCCCTCGCAGACGAGTACTTTGTTAAGAGAAAGTTGTATCCAAACGTCGACTTCTATTCTGGTTTAATCTATAGGTTCGAATGAATATTCCTTAAAATATTTGATGTGACTATCTTTATCAATTACAATTATGAAAAACCATATCATTGTTATGCATCAGGGCTATGGGCTTCCCCCCAGAGTTCTTCACTGTTCTTTTTGCAATTCCCCGGATGGCTGGCTACTTATCTCACTGGCGAGAATCCTTGGATGATCCTGATACGAAGATAATGAGACCTGCGCAGGTTAGTGTTTGCATTTTTTTATTTATTTATTTTTTTTCTATGAATTTTTCTAAGGTGCCGATCATACTAATATCTTTTGTATAAGATATAACAATGCATGATATGTTAGATTAAAGAAATTTAAACCACTACTCCTGACCTTTTGCATGCGTTTGCATTGATACCAAATTGAAGATATTCTGCCTGTACAATTTCATATATTATAAGCACAACACAAAGAGGGTTAACCCAACATGACCTCATGTACGGATCATGTCGTGCTCGTTTGAGTACGATAGTACGTGGGCCATGCGTGAACTAGTCTATGTGGACTGGGCCCATGCCAACTCACATGGCTTAGAGCATCCTTGTCAAACCAAGTTTTTGTTCAGGTTTTCATTTTTGTCATGCTACGTAGAAGGAGAGGGGTGAGAAAAAGAGGGGAAAAAAGCATTATTAATGCCCGAGTGCCTAGTGCACCGCCCCGCATGCCCACCAGGCGAGAGAGTGGTCTTTGTTTTTTTCCCAACTTTTGAGCACTCTACAAAAAATCTTCATCCGAACTTTTTTTTTTTTTTTTTTTTTTTTCTTTCTTTCCCCTCCAACAGTCCACAACTCATGCTCTCTCTCCTCCAACTGTGCAAAAAATCTCAAAACAACCTTTGATGTAAATGCAAATAGTCATCCATATTGTCATTTCTATTTTATATGTTTTTGGTCCATAAACTTGTAACTGTTTGGTACATGCATCATAGTTGTGTTGATACACCCTGATTTGAATGTTGATTGATTCAGGCGTACACCGGAGTTTGGTTGCGGCATTACATGCCAGTTGGAGAACGCAATCCATCGACTGATGCAGCAGTAGATAAACTTGGTCAAGTTTCCATTTCCAATGCCACTAAGCGTCGGTTGGCTGGTTGTGGTGCCTAGAATTATGCAGTTTGTATTTAGGAAACTTTAAGTATCAATAAATTGCAGCCGTATGTGTGAGTGTGTGACAAAACTCATTATGTGATGCCAATGTAATGATTAAACATATATTGCTTGAAAATAAGGGTTATCCACACCCATGAAATGGTGTGGATTGTAAATTTAGGTGGCAAGTGACATGCAATAAATCAGTGATTATTTTCTTTTTCATTTTTTATTTGCAAGCATGTAAATGTACTTTTTGTGTTGTTCTGTTATAGTGTTTTGTTTTATTATTATTATTGTTGTTGTTGTTGTTGTAAAGTTTGAAAGTGAGTTAGAAGTTGTATACACATGGAGTAATAAATTGTAAATGTGATATAATATGATTGTAGGATTCGTTTTTGAAAGTGAAAAATACCAATACAATTTTTATTCCTGCTAAATTTTTACTATGTTGACTTTTAGTATATATTTTAATATAAGATAAAATATTAATGAAACCTATTCACTACATCTTTTCATTTTTATAAATTTATTTTTAAGACTTGACTTTTGATAATTACAAACAAGGATTTAAATGAGAGAAAGTCTAAGAAGGTGGCAAACCATTTCTCTCCTCTCTAAATTGGAGGACATGTCTCTTTTTCAAAGTTTATAACAATTGAGAAATTTTGTTTTCGAATTAAAGAAAAGTAAATAAAATTTTTATTTCTTTGAAAAAAATTTTTATTTATGTCATGCGGCCTCATTGATCTAATGAGAAGGTAAGAAAAGATAGAGAAAAAATTTATTGATGTCATGTGGCCTCATTGATCTAATGGGAAGGTAAGAAAAGATAGAGAAAAGATTGGAGATTGATGACAAATACAAATACAAATGCAATGGTAGCTCGGTTTATGAGAGCTAGATATTACCCAAATGGTACCTTTCTTAAAGCACAACTCGGAGCCAAACTTTTGTTGGAGGTCCATCCTGGCAGGGCAACAATTATTAGCATAGGGGTGTGTTCATATAATTAGGAACATAAAGGGTATGGAAATCTGGAACCAACCTTAGCTTCTAGATATGGTGAATCCGTTTATTGAGAGTGAGGTTTCTCAACATCATGGTGAGGCAACTGTCCCAGGTTTAATCAAACCCAACACGGGCGTTTGGTTCAGATTATATAAGATAACCAATGTTATATTTGCTTGGTAATATAAGATTCCCATGTTTAGTTCCAATTATGTAACTTTCTCAGGGAATGTCAGATAACCTCCGCATTAAGTTTTTAGCTATTGGAAGGGAATGTGAGATACTCTCCAATTTCTTAGGTAATCTCACATTCCCTTGTCTTACTACTAATGTTGCGCTTTGGACATTTTAATCAATTTATCTTATTACCGTTGTCTTATTTACATATCTTAATTTTAAACTAAACACAGGAATCTAACATTTCTAGTAATCTAACATTCCCAGCAATCTAACATTTCCTAAGTTAATCTAACATTCCCTAAGGGTTAGGACATGAATTTATTGAATGAGCTTTTTCTGGAGAGAGATGTGAAACCTGAGAGCACAATCTGAGACAGTTGCCTTTCAGGTTGAGATGGAATGTCTTAATGTTTGCCATCTATGACACTCCATCCCCAGAATTTTCTTATGTTGGCTGTATTAGTAAGGGATGTCGTTCTCTTGTTAGGCACTTTGGATTAGTGGGCACTTTGGATCAGTGCCCTTTCGGTTTAACTGTAGATCAGTGTTAGCTCATTCTCTTACTAGGGCGGTAAATTCTTAGTCTGATTTTTCAGTTTGAAACTCTATTATTCTTACTTGTATTCGGCATTTATTTCGTATTGCTTTATATATATTACCCTTTTTATAATTAAAAAAAGAGTCATTAATTAAGACATATTGAGTAAAATGAGTTTATATGTATTATAGCTCCTTTTAGAAACATATTAAATCCGGTTTGTAGTTTGGTAATAAGTAATACCCAGTAACTATTAATTTTACTCATTTTAGAACCTTTCATGGTTTCTTAGGATATATTTTATTCTCCATTTGAAATTTGTACCATATTCCCTCTTAACTTGAACTAAAAGTGAAATTATTACCCAAAAAAGTAATAAAATTTGTGAGACATTCCTAAAAGCTATGAGTTCAATTTTTGTCAATCGATACACATAATAACATGAGTTAGTAAAATTTATTTTTTCCTAAAAACTAATATAGCATGTTTTTTAGTGTAAAAAATAATTGAGAAGAGAGAGAAAAAAAAACTCTTCCAAAGTATTTAGGGAATTATTTAAAAATTCCATATACAAACTAAAAAAAAAAACCCTTTATCAAAAATCATTATATTATAGACCATTATTCACATTGCAGGGTGGACTACTACCATATATACTCATTTTTAATATACTATCCAAAAATAAACCTAATATTAAATTAAAAATTAACATTTAATATATTAAAAATAAACATCTATCACTATTCTACATTATAATGATTCCCAATATCATTTTCTTCATACTAGATTACTAGGCAGCTGGTGAGGCAAAAAATTTGTCAGTGCCAAACTTATTATAGCGATCCACTAAGCGGAAATTTCTTTTGTATTTATGCCCCAACAATGGGAATTCAAATTTTCTAAAAATTTATACAGTTTATTGAAATGTTACAACAGAACATCAATTGAAAAAAGCACTGAAGAAATCCAACATTCATGAAAAAAAAAAAAAAAAAACCTATAAAACATAACAGTTACTCCCTCCATTCCAAATTGTCATCTTTGCTTTTTACACGCTTTTTTAAAAATTAAAGTAAATGATACAATACATGTTTTCCAATTATACCTCTCACTTTTCTCGCTTTTATTTAAAAATAAAAGCAAAAAAGACAAAAGAAAGCAAAACTAATAAGGGTACACTGAAAAAAATAGAATGATGGTGATGTTCAATTTTGAAGAGAGGAGAACATTTTGGGACAAACTAAAAAGAAAAATAAGACATGTAAAATGAGACGGGTGGAGTAATTGTGTTTCTTTTACAACATTAACTCCAGGAGCTCTAGAATCTCTTCATTGGCGGATTCATAGGTTTGGGTCTTGAAGAAGCAGCCAGCGCAGAAGGTCCACCTGGTTTCTTTGGGGAGGAAACACTTACACTGCTAGAGAAACGATAGATTCATCAATAACGCTAATTGCAAGTACTGGTGTATATATATATGTTAAAAAGGCAAAAGTCGTAGAAATATTACCTATTTGTTCTCTGCACAGCCTTATTCTTTATGGCAGCTAAATTTTTAACCTCTGGACTGTAATGAATATTATAAAATCAGATATTCTGGGTAGAGAAAGTTAGTTGACCTACAAACTTCAATACAGCTAGACAGTAAGCACATATATGCATACGTACGAGGTTAAGGTAAAAATATGCCATGCAGATCCAGAAGTTTCATATGCTTTCAATGGATAGAAGAACTTACCTTCTTAAGAAATCCATTTTTGCTTTCTTCATCACAGTACTCTTTGTGTTGTAAATATTGCTACTGCCTATTAAAAAAATAATAATAAAAAAAAAAAAACTGTAATTAGGTAGGAAAAGGAACTTGTAATGCATACATTCTAATGAGAATGCCAACAACAGTAAACCTCGTGCAAGACAAAATGCAGTAAAGGTCAGCAAATAAGAGCATATTCGCCCACACATTGGAAGGAAGGAATTTTGTAAAATGTGCCAAATTTGAACAATTTACCAAAATGTGTTTATATAAAACGGATACTGGAAAATGTTTTTTGACCAAAAATCATATTTAGGGAATGAAACTGAAAATCAGTTTGCTGTTGCAAACAATAGCAGTAGCTTGTAGTAAATTTGACATGACTTCTTACCTCCTGCATAGTTATAATGGTAAATCTCATGGATTGAGACCAAAATGTGTTGATTTTCATATGTATACCAAAGTAGGTTTATCAAATTAGAATGATGAGACTTAACGACACAAACCCATGCAAGATCCACAACAAAAGCCCAAAATATGTTTGACCTACCCAGACTCAAAGCCTTGAAATGAAGGTTGAAACCTTGACAAAAACACAAGACATGCCAAAGGTGGTGATATTGTAATAAAAGAAGTAATCTACTTTTTGTAAAGAAATTTCAAAAAAATTCTCTTAAATCTAGGAGCTTCAAAGATGTTTTAATCAAGCTTCAAGCTATTACATGTTCTCAAACATTCTCTGCAAAAGTACACTTGCTCTTCAGTCCCTTTCTTAATGACCACTTAATAATTTCTTATGATACTAGTTACCCTCATGTAGTAGGTAATAAACTCAAAAAGAAACTACCAATTAGAACACATGGCAGCCATCAAAACAAGACTAAAATAAAATTGGCATTTATTAATCTGTAGGAAGACCATTATGAGAATCATTTTCAGATAGCATGCTGTTCTCTCATTGCTTCAAAGCTTGGGTAATCAACTTGACATTTTTTACATCTGAAATTGTAAACAACATAGAATTCTTCCTCCTTTGGCCTACAAACTCTTGGAACACAAATTTGTGCTTTGAAGCATAGGTTACCTCTTGTAATGCCTCAACAACAAACCTATCCTTGTGATGCCTTGTCATTATTCTTTGTCCTCAACTGCAATATTGAACCTCCGAAAAAGAACATGGTACTACCAATTTAGAGCAATTCATTGTACGCGCCACTTAAATTCGCATTCAAGGAACGAGTTCTAAAATCACTATTCCAAATTGCAATATAATATTGCTACTGCTAAATGCAATACAAAATTGCTACTAATACATGTGACATCACTCCTTACCTAATGAGCTCTCATGCATTGGTATCATGGGAGTCTAATAATGATTTGAGACCGAAATGTGTTTATTTTAAGAGGTATAATTTAGAAAAATAAGAATTAAATCTCATTCAGAAAATGGGTTATAAAATATCACTATTCCAAACGCAACATAGTATGGTGTTAAAAAATGTTACATAACTCCTTACCCAAGGTTCCCTCCTGCATTTGTATCATGGGCATGACTAGAGACAAAACTGTGCTGATTTTTAATGTCAAAATCAGCTTTTCAAAATAGAAAAGAGACTTAATATCTTATTATGCAAATGAGATCTTAAATTGCTATTCCAAGTTGTGAGATATATCATTGTTGCTAAAAGGTGGAAAAGGAAACTCACACATGAAGTTTAAAATAGAACTAATGGTTGCCATGACATTGGGGGAGAGGGGGGGGGGGTGGGGTGGGGGGGTGTTGAGTCGGTTAACATTTTAAAATTATAATTCAACCCAAAATGAAATAAATTGCTCTAGCCACTGGTCAATAGTCCAACCACATAAACCTTTCTTTCACAATCAATGACACTAGTACTCGAAAACTAGAGAGAAAATGAGGTTCTAGAGACGAGTTTGAGGAGAAAAATCACTGCCCCTTTGTTAGCTTAACAACCTTGCCATCCATCTTGAAGAAAGAAGGGCAATTGTGCCATGATGTCTCACTTTTTACAAAAGACATCATGTCAATATTGTAAATAAAAATTACAGATTCAAATTTTAAAAAACAACTATATATCTCATTCTTCAAATTTAGAAATCAACACATTTTCTTAAATTGCTTCTAAATTTGGCATATATTAGATAATTCCTCTTGAGGCAGTTGCTATATCTTAAACCCATAAATGTAGAGGTCGCACCAAAGTAACCTGACCCTTATTAAACAGAAGGAATTAAATTGTGTTTGAAGAGGAGGACCCTGACATAAATACAAATCATACCTCCATAAAAGCTTCTTTTACTGCTAGAAGGTGGAACCTTTGTGCAGAGCTTAATTTGCCGGCTTTGTTTCTCTGCAAGAATATAATTCAGTATCATGTTTAATTGATTATAAGCCACTTGGTGACTTGGAACGTATAGTTGATGTTAAACAATTACTTTTCTTTAAGAGACCCAGGAAGTAACAAATATACGGAGGGATAAGATATAATAGCACTTACCAGCATCGTGTTTTTTGTATAGATCCCTGATTCTGTCAAAGGACTTTTGTTGGGTTTCCTCAACCTCCTTCAACTTTGCCTGCAAGTAACTTGAACTACTCAAAACAATACAATTATTTTCGGACATAATATTTAGCATATTCTATCCTAATTTTGAGAACTTAGAAACCATTCAACAATTATAAGAGAGTGTGTAAAATGAAAATGAGATGAATACCTCATACAATTGATTCCACTTAAAAGTTACTTTCTTCTGCTTCATTCTCTCAATAACCAGACTGGCGCTCTTTTTACCAAATTCCCGCTCATAAAATTGCTTCCAGATTTTATCAGTCACAGGGCTAAGATCTCTTCCCTTGAATAATAAAGAAAAGTTAAAATTTCAAAGTCCAACCTAGGTTGTAACTTTCCACAAGGAGAGGGCAAGATGAACAATTTCTTACTTGTGTTGACTTCTCAATGAGTGCCAACTGGTCAACAGTACAGTGAGGTAGAAAGCGCTCAAGAAGATGAAAGTCTGTTGCACCAACATCCCCAATGTATCTAACATGATCTATTGCAACCTGAACGCACAAATCCACAAGGGAAGGAGCTTTACGATTCCCTACAGCACTTCTCATTCTGTGCTCCGATCTGTTTTCTCCACTAACACCTGAAACAACTAGCTATTTAATAACAAGAGAATGAACCTTAATTGCAATTAGCTAAAAATCAACACAACTTTTATCTGATCATAATCACAACCATCCCCTTAATTTAGATTTCTGCAAACACTCAGCCACACAAAAATCTCAGGTTATTCATTTCAAATGGCACCAGAAATTGTAGCATCATTGATCCATAGATGTTCTTAATTTGCAGACAACAAAGTCAACTAAATCTTATCAACTCTCAACATAACAATCATAATTCAAATTCGCACACCTAAATCTTCTAACAAATAAACGATTCTTTTTCAAGAAACACCAATCTCAGTACCGACAGTACTTAACAGAAGTTTGCTTCCATAAATTATCTCCTAGCACCTGTATCTAGCACAAATTCCACACAATTCTAAACAGAAAAGGTTCAAATTTAAAAAAAAAATTAAAAAAAATTAAATTTGTGACAAGAAACGAAAATAAATGCACAGATTAAAGCTTCTTACAGCTACAAATTTAACAAATCCGATCGATTAAAAAAAAATTAGAATCTTACAGACGGTGATCGGAGCAGGAAACCAGCGGGCTGATAAATCAGAATTCAAAAATCGAAAGAAGAAACATAGAATTGGCAAGCTTGAAAGACATAGGGAAATTGCAGAACATAAATAGAACTGTTGTTCGGTGTGACGACGAAGATGATATAATCAATATTTGATAGTAGATACGGAAACGGGGAACGGGAATGTCACGCGGTGCTGTGCTGACATACGTTACTTACTCTATGTCCCCAATAGTTATACCATGGACCTGCGTCCACCTTATAAAGTAAATCCAGATTCAAGATATACAATTTACATATTGAAGCACAAAAAGTTAATTACGCCTCCATTAAAATTCAACCTCATGACCTCTCATATGAAAAAAGTCATTTTATATCATCTGAGCACAAGATACTTGATAAATAAAAATTACTAAAATTTCACATAAATTTGATAATTAATTCATCATTTATTTCTATTTAATTTAGTTTATTCAAACAAAATATTCGTATAATACATTAAGTAATTGATATCATCATCAATCCTACTTAGTCAACATTCAACAAGTTGCACTATTTGAGAAAATTTATTTTTAGTCCCTCAATTGTTTATTGATAGTTACGTTGTTTTAGCCCATAACTTTTACCGTTGTAATATACTAACCTAAGTCTTCAAAAAAGTTACAATTTTAACTCATGAGAAAACAAAACTATTAAACTTGATTAAAACTTTACTTAGTAAATGGTATTACATAATTTTTTTTATCTTTATTCTTTACGACTTTTTCAATTTTGGTATTTGATATGCAAAATATATAATTGATGTTGATGACCTTCTTTCTTAAAGTTGGCTATCTTCAATTGTGGTACATTGTCCCTATTTTTCTTATACAAACAAGTTAAAATCAAGTTTTTTTATTCTACAAAGAAATATCGAGACTCGAGACTAAGGAAGATTATAATAATTAAAAAAAATTAAAAAGTACTAAAATACTATGTACTAAAATAAAATTTTAATAAAGTTTATTAGTTCTTTTGTTGAGATATTCATAATTTTTTACAAGGTAGTATTTGTTCTATACTTTCTCAAGCATTTTTAGCCTAAAGAATTTAAACCCCACCACCGGAGTTATGACCACCCATTTGGAATGGTAATTGGGGTGTCGTCACATCACACTACATGGTAGAAAATATACTAAATTTATTAGTTTTATTTCTTTATGGGCTAAAATTGTACTCCATCCGTCCCATTTTATGTATCTTACTTTCCTTTTTAGGCTGTGTTTGAAAACCCGGAAAATGACTTCTGGAAGTCATTTTCCGAGTTTTTGGTGTTTGGCTACACCTGGAAAATCCAGTCAACGGAATCCATTTTCCGTTGACTGGGGAAAATGAGCCCAATTTGGCGGAAAATGACTTCCGCCAAATTTGGGCGGAAGTCGTTTTCCGCCTTTCTCTTTCAATTTTTTTTTTTTTTTTTTAAAAAAAATCTGGCGGAACTGTTCCGCCAGAAACCAGAGCTATGGTTTCCGGCGGAACTGGGTTCCGCCAGAAACCATAGCTCTGGTTTCTGGCGGAAACCAGTTCCGCCGGAAATCAATTTTTTTTTTTTTTTAAGATTTAAAATGAATTTTTAATTTAAAATAAAATAATTAAAATATTTAATAATACCATTCTACTCATTTTCCAGAAAATGTACCAAACACACCAAAACAGTTTTCCAAATGTAACCAAACACTGGAAACGGAAAATGTTTTCCGGAAAATGACTCATTTTCCAGAAATCATTTTCCAGAAGTCATTTTCCTGCTTTCCAAACGGACCCTTAGTTTGTCCCAAAATAGTGTCATCTTTTCAAAATTGAACATAACTATCACTCTACATTTCCCAATTTACCTTTTTGACTTTTCAAATTTTTAGTGGTAAATACAATTGTACTTTGTACAAACAACACCTACTTTTGAGGGGCAAAATTGAAAAGTTAGTACCATTTGTTATGTTGTATTAAAAATCGTGTAAAAAGCAAATGAGACAATCAATTAGAGACGGAGAGAGTAATTTTTTGAAGAGTGAGTAAATATATTATAAGGATAGAAGTTAAGGGCTAAAATGGTTGGCAAAGAACAATCTATGAACTAAAAATGCAGTTTTATATAATTTTGTGTAGTTGAATAATAAATTGCTTCATTTTGTTGAAACTCAAAGAAATAAAATATAAAGTATTAAAAACCTGACTTAAATATAATATAAGTCCAACTCATCCATCTAGTGAAATTACACATTCTCGAATGGTTGTTCATTAAATTTAAGCTAAATATTTTGTATCACAATATTCGAATCAAATATGCTCACTTTGAAAGGACATTCACAAGACTTATGTAGCTATGTGAAGATACATAAAACCAGGCGCATTACCATTCTTAGTTCCATCCAGTTTAGTATCGCGCAGATGCCATTGTCCCTTTGATAGATGATAGTGTTATAAAAGGTAGAGCTTGAAGCCATTGCTGCACAAAGCTTCCCAGGTGGAGATTTCTCCCTCATCTCCATTAGGATAATTATGGTTGTTAGCTGCAAAAATTAGTGACTAGCTTGAAAATTCATCTGCCACGAGGGGAGGAATAAAACTGCAGCCCTGAAGTGTTTGCTCGAAGATGTGACCCATTCTAAGAAGTTTTCCCTGCAATTGCATTTGTAACTTTATTGAATATGGAGAGAACCAAACAGGTGGCTTCAGCAATTTCCACATGAAAGAAAACGAAAAAGAGAATGAAGTGCCCACCTCGTCAAATGCAGCGCCAATCATTTGAACGCCAACAGGTAGCCCTACAGAACCACCGTCAACAAATCCACAGGGCAGAACCAGTGCAGGAAGACCAGCCAGGTTAACATTCACCTGTCGCAGATGGGAAAAAAACAACTCTTGACACTAAATAAATATTGGGTTATTAAGCAATAGAGAACATATAACTTGAGAAGCAGAACTTTGGGAGTCATATAAATAACATACCGTCATGATATCACCTGCATACATTGCCAATGGATCATCCTTCTTCTCACCTGAAGATTTGAAAATTTAGCCAGTGTGCAACTTCAGAATTTCAGAAAAGGTATAGACTAGAACAGATAAGTGCTCAACCAATTTTATAAGCTGCTGATGGCGCTGCTGGTGAAATCAGGATATCATTATTTTCCAGTGCTTCCCTAAAGCTTTCCCTTACCAAGGCCCTCACCTAAAACACTATCACCATTTCAGTTTCCATTGAAAATGAAATATAAACTCAAAATTATAGGCGTTCTGAAGTGGTTTTACGGAGTTCATCATTTGAACTCATACTTGTAACTATTAACAGTGGCAAAGTGCTATGTATTGACTGTTATGTCATGAGTAAAAGCATCATAAACAACTTCTCTAGAAATAGATGTAAGGTCTTGCACATATACATCATCTTTCCCAGAAAAGATGAGTGAGCTTGCACTAGGCCAGATTCTGTAGTCAACAAAATAATTGGCATGTAAGTTGCAGTACCTGCTGAGCTCGTTTGTAGTATGCATCATAATAACCAGCTGACAGGGCATATGTTCCCATTAGAATTCTCATTTTGACCTGTAAGAGTGTTGCACAAATGACACTCCAAAATCACCACAAAGCTTAAACTTATGACTCATGACTCATCCCCTAAATTGTTCATACCTCAGAACCAAAGCCTTTAGCACGGGATCCCCCATAAAGGGAATTAAGCTCATCTGCAACAACTTGATTCCCATACCTACACATTGACATCCAATGGCAGTAAGAAAACTGTAGCCTCTATAAATATTTATAGTTGCATTCCCAAACTTCTCTTAGGCTTATGATGAAGCCAATTATGGGAGTGTTATGTTTAGGAACTATCATCATTTTCATATGTATTTACACACAAACATTTCAGAATCACTATTTAATATCCAAAAAAGTACAAGTCTTATCCATCCAAGTAAATCATTTTTATTTTGTTTTGTTTTAGAACAAATCCATGGTCAATCTGCTCTAATAACTGAAGCAAAGCTATACTCCATATGACCTGATAGAATCATAACGTGATAAATTTGAAGAAGATTCAGATGATGCAAGTATGTAGTAAGCTGGTAATCCAAGAGAGAAAGATGGCAAGGAGACCTGAAAATAGAAAATAGAAAATGAAAAAGGGAAAAAATGAGCTAGAAAAGGAGTACCTGAACATTGCAACTGCAGAAGTACAAATGCATAAATACGGGAACCTATGAGAAAAGAATACCTCTGTCACAGTGCATCCTAGTTCCTCAAGATGACTAGCAGCACCACGGATTGAGGAAATTACTTCAGGGTCAACTCCTTCTTCAATGGTTTCTCGGATCACACCAACTCTCAACCCTTTAAGAGGTTTTGATTCGAGATTATCTTGGGAAATAAATTGGGAAGTAAAGTCAGGAATTTCCTGAAAGAACATTCACAAAATTAAAGCAAAAACTAGCATACACAAATGAATTGGAAAACAGTCTCAAGTCTTTATTTTTGCATTGATAGGAAATTAGCATGAATTCCACCAAGAAGTTAACAGAACACCATATTTTCTTGGAAGATACACTAATTCCTAAATACTTATTATTCTAAACAAAGATATTGAGTATGTTATAGTAAACAATTGTCAAAACAATTGGATACGTTTAAACTTATCATGTTGTGAATTAACAAAACCATGACCATAGAAAATATAAAGAATAAATTTCACAAGGCGAGTGAGAAATATAAGCACAAGAGACTTACTCGCTTGCTACTTGTTGCATCAAACTTATCATGACCAGAAATTGCCTGGAGTAGAAGCCCTGCGTCAGCTACTGATGAGCCAAAGCATCCAATGACATCAAGAGAAGACGCATATGCTACAAGCCCATATCTTGAGACACGCCCATATGTTGGTTTCAAACCAACAACACCACAGAAAGATGCTGGTTGTCTAACACTCCCGCCTGTATCACTTCCTAGTGATACTGTGCACTGCCTAGCAGAAACAGCAGCAGCTGAACCACCTGATGATCCACCAGGCACCCGTGTCAAATCCCAAGGATTTGCTGTCACCTATTAACACCAATATGGATCACCTGAGTAAACCATGTTCAGTTACAAGTTGGAGTTATCAAACCATATAATTTCTTATTTTTACATTCTTTTCATTTGAGAATTTACTAATATATTGGCCACTCACTTTGATAGCATCACTCATCTGACCAATAGTAGAAAACATGCAATTTGAATTCAATAGAGTCAGTTCATATTGAGCAGGGACCCAAAGCTTGAAACCTTCCAATAAAGTGCACGTGCATAATAATTTCTACTAGCAGAAACTTCAAATTCTACAAGGAATGACAAAAACCAGACCTGATAAGCAGAGCCTTCAGTAGTACTCCCCATACCAAACTCATCCAAATTAGTCTTCCCAATCACAATGCCGCCGCATTGTCTCACATTCCTCACTGCCGTCGCATCGAAAGCCGGTCGATAATTCTCCAGAATCTTCGACCCGGCAGTTGATGGCATATCCGCAGTACAAATATTATCCTTCACAGCAACAAAGACACCGGCGAGGGGGCCCACCTCCTCATGGTTGGAAATCTTCCTATCGATCTCCTCGGCCTCTCTCAGCACCGTGTCGGAGACGTGGAGGAAGCTCTTGAGGTGGGGCTCGGTGCGTCGGAGGCGGGAGAGGAAGGTCTGCGCTAGCTCCACGGCGGAAGTCTCGCCGGCCAGGAGGGATTTGCGGATGGTGAGGATTTGGGAGGCCGGTGGTAGGGTGGCTGTAGCGGCGGAGGAGAGGGGTATGGTTTGAGAGGTGTGGAGGCATTTGACCTTCAGAGGGAAGCGGAGGAGCCGCGGAGTGTGATGAATTGAAGATAGCATTTTCTGATGAGAGGGTGCTGATGAGCAGTGAGAGGTTTTGCAGGTTTTATCTACTCGACTACTCCTAAGAATTTGCTATTTCTTCTTCCTACTTTTCACTATATCACAAAATAACTTTTTTAAAAAATTAATCCAAAATAACAACTTTTTAAATTTTAGTATTTTAGAGCAATAAATTATTACAAAAAACTAATTAATTAAACACTCATATTGATTATTTAACCAAATTAAACAGCCAATAGTGATAGGCTAACTATTTTACCAAACAAGACCTATATCCATATTCAATCAACTATATTTGACTGAAATTATTTTAAATTCAAACAAATATATTACTATATAAAAAATAATTTTTTAAAATTTATTTTTAACGATTTTATAGAAGTGCAACCCTTTTTTTTAATCCACAAATATAAATGTTTTACCTAAAACATTTCATTCAAGTTCATATATTCATAAGAACCAAATCGAAAATAGTCAAAAAACCACAACTTGTACTAGATGTTAGTTATACTCCGTATAAGTTTTTGTTTCTCTCTATATCCATGCAATTCAAGTGTGGAAGTACTCAATGATGTAGTCTTACATCAATACAAAACGAACATACAACAATACCAAATTTACAGGCACTAAATCAGAGAATAAAATGCAATTTTACAGATTAGAGAAAAAATAAAGAGAAGTCCTATACCCTATCTGAGGGACTAACTCGTACAAGGGTGTTCATGGCTAAATACAATCTCATCTCCTTCAATCAACCGATTGACAGCAGTTGCATTTGAGAATTCAGTTCTTCCATTGCAAACGGTTTCTGATAAGGCTCGGGATTTTCATTCTTCATGGAAACGACAGCTTTTTGGTGCTTCTCTTGGGTCATCCTTTTCCTAAAGTGGATCAATATTACAACAATTTATGATAAAAATAAATAAATGAGGACCACAAAAAGCTGGGGAAAAGGAATGGAAAGATCAAACGGAATGGAAATAAGCTACTTACAATCATCAATGTGAGACCCAAGAGGAAATCGCCACCAAGGGGAGCATTAATGCCAAGCCATACGACATCAGGCTATCCACATCCTTGATCCTTTCCATCTTGATGTGGATAGAACTCCAAAACCGTGTGAAAGGACAATTTACTGGTCGACCCTGCAGCATATGCACAAAAAGTTTCAACTATACCCCTTTCTAGTGGCAAACATTAGGCAACTATGTGTACTCACCTTGGTATTTGAGTCACTAGTTTGCTCTTGATCATCAAAACTGGATAGTGTTCTTCGTATGTAATGGTCGGATTGATCGACTGGCTTCTTGATAGTAGCTCTTTCAGTAGAGAAAGTTTTGTATGCAGAATCGGTGTGGATTGTCTCCATGACTGAACCAAAAAAGTTTGTCACGGGCACCTGCAAGGGCACAAGGGGAGTGCAAGTCAGACTATCTAAACATATTGACAAAAAGCCACTTAAACATAATTTAACGGAAATGTTTTTATTATACCTCCTCCAGTAGACGCGGGTATAGATCAGTTCGATAATATGCCGTTGACATCAATAAATTTGGGTTATATGAATTGAAGAGACTGCAAATTAACAGCAAAGCCTAAGAGATTCATATGAAGTTGGAAGTTGATAGAAATAACAAATTAACAATGCACAAGATGAGTTTTCTGAAAAGCAAATCTTCTGTAATAACCTATGATGAATTAGTTTATCCAAGAAAAAATTATTTACAGAAAGGAGTAAATAAAAAAGGAGTAAGAGAGCAAAGATCTAGAGTTTAAAAAATATGAGATTAGGACTGTTTCCCACTCATTAACTAGCAGTGGTGGTCAAAGTAATATTTTTGAAGTTCACAGTTACCTACTTACCTGCTTAATGAGGCATTGCTATACATATTTACCCTCTCAAAAAAGGCAAGGGTATAAAATGTGAATCGATCTATAACTGAGACACCAACCTGGAACAAAGAAATTATTAATGAAGAAAATTACCAAAAGATAGCAGGGTTGTGGAGCAAATATACTTACATTAGAGTCTAGGTGGTGTGAATAGGAATTTTCTCCTTTCTTGCTACTTCCAATAGCCAAAACACCAGGTGAATGAAGCTACATGGGAAGGATATATTTCATTTCAGATAGAAAATCATGCATAAAAGGCTCAGTATCACATTTTTGACAGAGGCAATAGCAATAACTATCTATGCTACTAATTACACAAAGAGCACATACTCCACACAAGTGGAGAACCCAAAGTTCTGAAACAACAAAAATGCAGCAGAGATTATGTGTTACTTCTTTTTTGAAATATGTTTGTTACTTCTAGTAGAATAAAATATGAGAGAAAACTCTTAAATTACAATGAATTCTTATAGGCCTCATCAAACAAGGACTGAATGGTTGATCCCATTGTACATACACTAATAAATACTCAGTTAAGTTATCATGGAGCGGTATATAAAATGTCAACCTATTACCTAACCCCTAGGAAAAGAATAGCTCACCTGAGAGAAAAGTGTAGCAGCTTGGCAAGTATCAACCATTATTAACAGCTCCTTGAATCTGAAAGTTGAACACAATTGAGAGGTGTGAGCCATCATTTCAAGTGTATCAAAGCAGTCCCACTCTTAAGGAATGATGCAGTTAAGTCCAGCAGGAAAAAAAAAAAAAAAAGATTCTCACCTACGCTTTTCTTTCATTTGTTTCACTGCATCAGCTAAATCATGACTCTGAAGCTCCTCTGCATCCTGAAATTTTAAGAACTCATCTCCACCATGCCCTGTCATATAAACCAGTATGTGGCTTCCTTCATCACTTAAAAGACGTTTTGACCGGGGAACAGCAGCTTCATGACGGCCCGTTAAGACTCTGAAGAAGTTCTCAACAGTTACTTCATACCCTCGATAATCTACCTGACTTACAGAAGCATGTAAAAGTTAGAAATTGTAAATGAATGAAAACTAATCTAAGTCCAAATTACTGTAAATCAGGCTAACAGATAGACGCCCTACTAGAGATCCACTTGCAAAATAACCAAATAAGAAGTAAGAGCATTAGGTATTCAAACTTAAGACCATGCATAGTTCAAAACATACTTTACTAGGTATACCCATTGCAACCCTTAATAGACATTTAGCAGAATGGTGAAAATTTCAAACAATCATGATAACAACATATCACTAAATCCAGTTTCAATTAAATTGAGTGTTGTATATGATAGGAAAAAAAAAAATCCTAAGTGATTGTTAGAAGGATGATCAAAACTACTGACCTCGACATTATCTCCATACAAGTTAAGCCTATGGTTTTCATTATTAAAGACTTGAGCAGGGTATTTGTTCCGTGCATTGCAAGCCATATCATCAGCCAACATCAGAATAATTCTTTCGTCTGGTATGCCCAACCGTTTTACAGTTCTGCATGCAAAACACAGATTAGTATTCACAAAACAGTCAAGTAACTCTGAGAATACAGAAATGAACTTCCAGACAAGAATATGAAGAATTAAGCTTTTAACTGAAAAGAAAGCTTTTTTACCTGTATAAAGACAAAGTGTTTGCCATGTGACGGTAGTTAAACCTGAGTACCCATAACAAATTTTAGCAAGTTGGAAATTCCATATTAAGGCTAATCTAATGACCAATTTTCACAAGGCAAAAGAATAAACATGTCAAATTAGTGATGCCACTAAACATTGAACTTTTGGAGTAACTATTCACACCTATACACAAACAAATATACTAGTAAAATTAATTTCATCTTCTTAGCTATACACTCAACTACTCAACCAAACGAATTACTTGGAAAAACTACAGAGTAAAACTGCAGTAGATACAGTAAAACATTCTACAATAAATATATGAACATAAAAGCATATATTACATATAGGAGTTTCGAAAGGAGTGCATAAAATAGTGGACAGTTTATAATTTTCCCCACATAAGTGATAAAGATACATATTGACCGGGGTATGCATAGTATCAAGGAGCTCAACTACACATTATCATATTAGAATTAGAATCAAAATATATAAAAACAAATAAAAATAAGATAAATTGATCAATGCATTCTCATAAGACACAAATCAAAAGCATATTTTAACTAAATTCAATAAAAACAGAATCGGAATACATTAATAAATAGCATAATTTTGTATCACAAGTTCCTCAGCTCACTGAACTTATCACACAATCTAACAAACTTCCTACAGTTCCCCCAAAATCAAAATTTCCAATCAATTTTCTCAAGAGACAGTCGAAACTAAACATTGATTGACGGAGAGATTGAAAGTACCAAAAGCGAGAGGTGCAGACCAAAACAGCCCAGTTGTTAGTGTGCATTGTGGTAGCCGTTGAAGCCGCACCGTCGCTGGAAGCATCAGACAATATCGCACTGTAGACACAAGTTGCTAGAAGAAGCAAAGATGCTGAAACGACGAACTTCAGCGATCTCTCCCTAATCATCTTCAACCTTATCATGGCTTTGCCTTAGCTTTTCTGGTTTCTTCCGTTCTGAGATTTCCCGTTTACTGTTCAAACTTTCGAAGACCAGAAGGGCTTCCCAAACGAGGCATATGTTAGTACGAAATCTAAATGAAACAGAAGCAACATACAATCAGAAATGCTAAATGTACACATCATCGTGCCCTAGTTTTCAACAATTTTGCAATGTTTGTGACGGGCAAATTATGCTGTGGAAAGGTAGATACACTTCTAAAATTATGAATATAGAATTTTATAATTATAAATATAGAATTCTGTAATTATGATTATAGAATTTTGTATTTGTGAATATAAAATTTAATAATTGTGAATGTAAAATTCAAAAATTATGAACATAAAGTTTTATAATAATGAACATATATAGAATTATGTAATTGTGAATATAAAATTCAATAATTATTAATATAAAGTTTAAAAATTATAAACATAGAATTCAATAATTATAAATATAGAATTGTTTCTACCTTGCAAGGTGGACACAATTTTACAGCATAATAATTATTGGCAAATTATGTTGTGAGCACAAGGTGGGCACGGTTTTATATTCATAATTTTTATACTGTAGATCCATATTTTTTATACTTTAGATTCCAATTGTTGAACTCTGTTTTCACAAATCAAAGAACTATATGTTCATAATTGATAATTATACAGTTTAGAAATTATGAATTTACAATATAGAAATTATGAATCTACTGTATTTAAATTATTAATCTACGATTTAGAAATTACGAGTCTAAAGTATAAATTTTATAAATTTACAATATAAAAATTATGAATTTACAATATAAAAATTATGAATCTACAGTATATAAATTATGGATATGAAACCGTGCTCATTTTGCGAGGTGGGCACGTGCTCACAACATAACGATCCATAATTGTTTGTGACCGTCCCAAGATCCAAGCATCTGCCTATAATGAAAATTGATTAAATGATCAAATTGACGAATTTCAATCAATCATTTTTTTTACCAAAATATTTTAATTTAGTTAATTTTTTAGAATTTTGATTAACGCTAATTTAATTTGAAAGTATAAGTTAACCGAATTAAATGATTGGTTAATCTATCTATATATATATATATATATATATATATATATATATATATATATGTGTGTGTGTGTGTGTGTGCGCGCGTGTTTTTTTTTATCATTTATATATTAAAATGTAATGACTGTTTTGTGATGTGAAACTATGAATTTACAAACTTTATTTATAGATTTTAGGGTTTTTAAAATTGGACTAAAATTTAATTGAACGATTAATTAAAAAAAATAATTTGGTTAATTGACTTAATTCAAAAATATGAATTTTCATTCGGTTAATGATTAAAGCATTTTGAAAATTTGGTTAATTTGATCCTGTTAACAACCAAATTAAACGAATAAACACCTGTAATTTTATGTGGTTGATTTGTTTAATGAGAATTACTTACAATTTTATTTTATATAATATTAAGTTTGTTATTTGTATATAAAATTTATATGTTTAAAATTACATTAAAATGCTATTAACAAAAAATTAAAATTAAAATACTTGAAAAATACTAAAAAATAAATAATTGGTTTGACATGTAAAATGAAATAGATGAAAAATTATTTAACAAAATGAGAACTTTCAAAGCGGGCTAGCAGAACGGGCGGAAAAAATGTGGGCTTAAAGGGCAGCCAATTTTTTATATGGCTTTTTTTTCATTGTATTTAAAAAATAAAAATAAAAAACATATGATGGCTTCTTCAAGAAATTATTTGAACCCTTTTGTTATAGTATAATGAGCCACAACTTTAATTCATTACCGTTGTGCCCTTAATATTGTGGTACTAAAGCCAGCCTTGCAATGCCTAACAATAATAATGGGAATTTCTTAATGATTCGTACACGGTACACATAGGGGATATGGCAGGGCTATGGCTCTCTTTTTATTTTTTGAGTAGCCATATATATATATATATATATGAGTTAAATCCACTTTTGGTCCTACATTTATTGCGCATTGGACACATTTTGCCCGCTTTTATTAATTTTTGGCCACATTTAACCTAAACTTAATAAAAGTTAGACAATTTTAGTCTAACGTCCAATTGACGTTAATACTCCGTGAAATAGAAGGGCATTTTTGACTTTTCCAGTACTATTCTTCCTCATCCGCTTCGTATTCCTTTCTTGAAATCGTGAAATTGTTCTGCGACGGCTTTTGATCGCCATTTATGGAGCTCCACTTTGAACAACGCGTTCTCAACCTGAGCTTCAAGAACCCTGTTCACAACCTTTTCTTCTGCCTCTGTAGCGACCGCTCTCATTCCGTACGGTGGCCTAGAGCATCCGCAAATGGGGTTTTCGCCGAAGAAAGAGGCAGCGACGTGTGGGAAATACGAATACCCATTTACGAATTAAGATCGTCTTCTTCTTTCTGCATGCAAATATTTTAAGAATTGTTAAATCTTGAATCACATAATCGGAAGCCCGAAAAATGTCGCCACCGATTCTTGAAGCTTTCACAGTTTTCTTGGGTTCCAGAAACATTTCTGTTGAGGATATGTTTAAGAAACACTCGATGGATCTGAGGCTACTCTATAGTGTTGCATACGGTCACTCGTGGTTCGAGAAATAGAAGCTAGCAGCCATTTTGGTGGAGATGGAAGCTAGCAGCCATTTTGGTACGTATAATCCATTAAATGCATTTGATGAGAGAGAGGGGGAAAAAAAGAGAAAGAAACCTCAGAGAGCAAGAAGTTGTCAGATTGTGAATAAAGATGTAGTAATTTGAACTTTTATTAAATTGGGGATTTTTAAAGCTTCATTTTTGGGGTTTTTTGTTTTTGTTTTTTTTTTTTTTTGGCTCTAATGAACAAAACCAGCCTACACTGTCTAGGTGGAGCCGGGTAGGAAGAGGGAAGAAGATGATAAACAGGGAAGAGGGAGATATGGGGATATAGATTTGGGCGTGGATATTTCGGAGTGATGGAGCATGATTATGAAATTAAAGAGCAATACAAACCCTGAGCTACTTAGAGCTTGATCATGTTGTTGATGATTTCAATCTCTCCAGAAATAGTGTTGAGATTAGGCAAATAATTCTCTCTTACAGAAATATCAATCAAACTCAGCTTTTCACTCTTCGGGATCTATTCAGATTCATGCTCTCTCTCAAGTCACAAGGTCATGACCTTCCAACAATAAATGATAATTGGAGGAGGGAAGGGGAAAGGAATCAACGGGTGGAGAAACAGGGTCAGCATGGTGAGCGGTGGTGAGGCTTGGGAGCAGCGACGGTTGTTGTCGGCGGCGGCCGTGGGCGTGACGGCGAATGAGATATCGGAGAGGCAGGACAAAAATGAAAGGATTTAAAAGGACAGAATTGCCCATCTGATGGTCTCTTAGCTTCGACTTTGACTGGGGAGACCAAGAAACAATATGGCTGATGAAGAAATTGACATGAAAGGACAGAATTGCCCTTCTACTTCACGGTTGTTTAAGGCCAAAAGTAACGTCAGACTAAAAGTGTCTAACTTTTATAAAGTATGGGCAAAATGTGGCAAAATTAATAAAAGCGGACAAAATGTGTCCAATGCGCAATAAATATAGGACCAAAAGTGGATTTAACTCTCTCTCTCTATATATATATATATATATATATATATATATATATATATTTGAAAAAATCGTGCCTAAGCGACCATGTATTTTTTATTCTTTAAAAATTTATTTAAATTTGTTTAATTTTTAAAAAAATTTGATAATTATAAACTATTTAATACTTTAATAGTTAATACTAAAATATTAAATATTAACCTAGAAAACATTTAGAGTTTGAACAATTTAAAATTATTTCGCAATAAGCCATTTAAAAAAGAAATGACCAATAGGCAATAGCTAATCGGCCGACTAGGCAATCTAGTCGGTGCCAAGATAGTCAAGTCAATGCCTAGCAGGTCTAGTCAGCGCCTAGCCGGCCTAGCATTTAGGCGCCTTAGTCGGCCGCCTAGACCACCGATTATGGTGATACGCTAGGCGGCTGACCAACGCTTAGCGCCTAGACGGCGATTAATCGGTGCCTAGACGAGATTTTTGCAAATATATATAGAGGTGCAGTAGTTTAGAAGTTTAAAGAATTGAAGCGAGGAAGAGATGGAGATGTTGTACAATACCATTGCAGTTTCCTTTGCAGTCGTCATAGTTTCAACATTGGTATGCAAAATCCTGAATTGGGTGTGGTTTAGACCAAAGAGGGTAGAAAAGGTGCTTAGACAGCAAGGCTTTTCTGGCAACTCTTACAAGCTTTTGATCGGAGACTTGATACAAGTAGTGGCTCACTCCTTCATGGAAGCAAACCGCAGTGAACCTTTGGACAATCTCTCCAATCACATCTCCCCTCGCATCCTCCCCTTCTTGTATAAAACCATCACCGCCCATGGTATGTTCCATTTCAATTACAAATTTACAAATTTTCAATTTAACATGTTTTGAATGATTAAATAATAAGATATTCTATTAAGATCCAACACTTACTATTATATCACCATATTTTCAAGAGACAGAATGTTGCTAGCTAGATTTCACTTGCCTTTGCCTAACAATTCCCTAGCATCTCATAACTTTATTTCCTTATATATATACAAGGACATTTTCGAGAGACAAGGTGATGAACTTAACTCTTCAGGCCTTCGTTCACCATTCCTTAGGCACAGATAATCGTTATGTTGTGGAACTGTGTCCAACTTATTATAAGGTGGACACGGTTCTATGTTCATAATTACTGAATTATATGTTCATAATTATAAAGCTATATAAACTTCATATTCATAATTATTGAACTCTATATTCACAATTACAGAACTCTATGTTCATAATTACTGAACTATATGTTCATAATTATAAAACTATATATTCATAATTTTTAAATTTCATATTCACAATTATTGAATCTCTATATTCATAATTACAGAAGTATATATTTATAATTATAGAACAATTTTGAAACCATGTCCACCTTACATAATTTGCAAGGTGAACATGGTTCCACAACATAATTTGACAGACACGGAGTGATAGACTTAGCTCTTTATAAACCTTCACCCAACACATTATCTATACAAATTTTGCTTTCTCTGACCACCTTAAAAAGATGGAAACCTTAAGAAAAGTAAGCAACGATTTTTCCGGCCACTTTTAAAATTTGAAAAATCTTACATGAATAAAAACCAACTAATTACAGTGATTCAATACGAATTTATGAAAAACATATATATGTGTACAGGCAAGAAGTCGTTTCTGTGGCTTGGACCAAAACCAGCCGTGTTAATCTTGGAGCCTGAAATGATAAAGGAGATACTCGCAAATTATCAGGATTTTGAAAGGCCAAAAAACCCGGCAATGATGGAGATGGTACGAGGATTAGTTGTCTGTGAAGCAAGCAGATGGTCAATGTATAGAAGGATCATCAATCCAGCTTTTCACGTGGAGAAGTTGAAGGTTACGTTGTTATTTAGTTATATATATAACTCGATCTACTAAATATATATTGAATTTTTTTCTGAACATTTTCGTTGATACATATAATATATACATACATAGGCTATGGTGCCTGCATTCTATGCAACTAGTCGTGAGATGATAGAAAAACTGGACAACATCGTAAAGGCAGAGGGGTCGGAGGTGGACTTATGGCCGTACGTTGACATCTTAACCAGCGATGCAATTGCAAGAGTTGCTTTTGGGAGCAACTTTGAAGAAGGAAGAAACATATTTGACAAACTTTCTAAGCTCACCAAGCTTGTCACTGGGCTTGGACCATTTCTATTCGTCCCACAATATTGGTAATTAAACTTATCTTTTTAGAAAAAAAAAAAAAAACATTTTAAGTGACTATTTTGTAGTACAAATACATATGGAATTCATTTTTGATTTGAGTCGGGTCAAAGTGTATATGACACTTAATTATTGCAGGAGTTTGCCAACTAAAATGAAGTGGAAGATACAAGAGACATCGAGGGAAGTGAGAGCATTGGTACGAGGAGTTGTGGAGAAGAGGATGAAGGAGATGATGATGAGAGGAGAGGAAGCTGTTGCTGCTGGCACATGTACAACATCATCCTCAGATCTATTAGGCATTTTGTTAGAATCAAACCTTAATGAAATCGAAAGTGGAAACACGAACAAGGGATTGAGTGACGATGATGTGATAGAAGAGTGCAAGCTGTTCTATCTTGCAGGCCAAGAATCATCCACAAACTTGATTGCATGAACCTTAATATTATTGGGTAAACACTTGGAGTGGCAACAACGAGTTAGGGATGAAGTAATCCAAGTCTATGGATCCGCCACCATCCAACCTTACAACTTCCACAAGTTGAATCAACTCAAAATCGTAAGTCTCATCTGATCGTCAAAATCAATCATTTATCACTACTTATAAAATTATGGCTAATCCCCACCTATATTCTCTTACACTTACATAGATGAACATGGTATTTCTCGAAGTTTTGAGGTTGTATCCGCCACTTCCGGTCCTTTATCGCGTGACGAATGCAGATTCAAAATTAGGGAACATCACGTTACCAGCAGGGGTGGATGTGATAGTGCCATTGCTTTCATTACACGTGGACAAAGATTTGTGGGGTGATGATTCATTAGAGTTTAACCCAGAAAGGTTCAAAGATGGGATTGTAAAGGCGTCCAAGATTCCTGCAGGAGCTTATTATCCATTTGGTGGTGGGCCACGAGTATGCATGGGACAAAATTTTGCATTGGTTGAAGTGAAGGTCACCGTGGCGGCAATCCTACAAAGCTTTAGCGTTGAGCTTGCTTCTTCTTATAAGCACTCTCCTCAGTGGAATATACTTATTCATCCTCACCATGTCAATTTGGTATTACACAAGTTATAAATTCTTAGAGGGTCAACACTAGCTATTACAAATTAAAGTATGTGGATATTTGTTTATTTATTATATCTCATTGAATCGTGGAGTGTCATAAATTATTTACAAGATCCTGAGCCTAAGGTGCAAGGCCTTGCCCCTTAGCCTCAAGCTCAGGTCCTATCATCTCCCTCACCCCTCTTTGGCTCTTAGGCCCAACTTACACTCATATTCTATCCATAGGCTCCAATCAAGTTAATACCATCTAGGATTCTTCGAGTATAGTAGTTTTGTCATGTTTAGTCAACTTTCAAATTGACCCCTCGTAGTTATTCAATTTTCAAATTGTTATCATTCGTGGTCCAAGTTAACCACTCATGGTCCTTCAACTATCAAATTTTAACCACTCATGATCCTTCTAGAAGGACCACAACTGGTTAAATTTGTAAAGTTAAAAGACCATAAGTGGTTAATGTGGACCACATATGGTAACAATTTGAAAGTCCAAGAACCACATGTGGTCAATTTAAAAGTTTAGGACTAAACGTGGCAGAACCACTATATTCGGAGGCTTCATACGACATTAACTCGGCTCCAATCACTTTCTAAATGCATTTTATATTCGGAGGCTTCATACGACATTAACTCGGCTCCAATCACTTTCTATATGCATTTTCTATATCAATACACTATGCATGAGACTTCATAAAATTACAAGAGACTAGCTAAGTAAATGAGTTAGGGTATGTGTGAATAGGGTCAAATAGGCCATTGAACCGCACACAATAATGCAATTAGGCCATTGAACTAAAAAAAGCAACAATTAAGTCCTTAAACTAACTCATTTCAAACAATTTGTCCAATTTGCAGGTTTTTCCCTTTCTAACAGGTCACAATTAAGTCCCTAAGTGACCTGTTAGAAAGGGGAAAACCTGTAAATTGGACAAATTGTTTAAAATGAGTTAGTTTAGGGACTTAATTGTTGCTTTTTTTGAGTTCAATGGCCTAATTGAATTATTGTGTGCAGTTCGATGGCCTATTTGACCCTTATTCCTATATTTATGTATGCATGTTAAAGGTTTACTAGTAGAGTATAATTAATCCACTTTAGTTAAAAGCAACATGGTTTAATTATAATTGCACTTTATTTATGTAACATGATTTATCAAAATTGTGAGATTTTTGTTGAAGTAAAAGATACGAGTTAATAAGATGGACAAACTCAAAGTCAAAAGCCAATATTAAGAGAATAAGAGCATTGATGGTCAACATACATGAGAAGGTTTATTGGGTGAGTTCTTATTAAATGGACTCTCAATTTTTACTCTATCACTTTTACTCCCTTATGTGACAAGCAATGATAAGTTATTTTCATTATGTGGATTCAAAAAAAGATGTCTACATAAAAAATTGTGTGAAGGAGTAAAGAGTGAAAGTAAATTTTGAGAGTCCAAGTAGCATTTTCTCATTAGATATTTATAAAATAATTTATCATCTGGTATACCTATCTTTGTGAGACTAATATACTAACAGTAAGCGCAAAACTACTAACCTTGTAATTACTTATGCAATCCACTTATCAATTACACCAAGAGTCCAAGTTGTTAAGTTGAACCTTTACAAATTTAAAATCTTGATAAGTTAGAAGAAAGTTGGGGGACTTTAACTGATAAGAGAAGAAAGACACTCTTAACTTCTTGTGTCTACTAACCTTGTAATTACTTATGCAATCCACTTATCAATTACACCAAGAGTCCAAGTTGTTAAGTTGAACCTTTACAAATTTAAAATCTTGATAAGTTAGAAGAAAGTTGGGAGACTTTAACTGATAAGAGAAGAAAGACACTCTTAACTTCTTGTGTGTAGATTTTATAGATGGAAACTTGGGGACTCCCAATTTACTCATTCAATGAACTTTGGGTAACAATTATGGGGTTTGGATTAATCTAACATAAGTTGAATATATAAAAAGAAAAAAAAAAGGTGAGAGAATATACTCCTAGAGTGTGAAGAATGAATTCAAATATTGTATTTTCAATAGAGTTCTATTACATGTACTCCATAATTTTACTCCTTAAATTTTATTCCCTTTAAATTTTATTCCCTCTCACATGTTCTTGATGTAGACACTTTTCTTGTTTATCACCTCAGGGAGTACAAGCAAGGAGTAAAATTTGAGAGTTTGGCCATGTTTGGTTAGTAGCGAATCCGCTGACTTTGGCGTTTTGACCATGGTCAAAACGCCAAACTCATTGTTTGGTTAACAGCGGTTTGGAGCAGCAGATTGCTCCAAACCGCTAAAATCCAACACGCTGCATAAAGAAGCCTCAGGCTTCTCTATTCTTGCCCATCCGATGTGGGATGGGCATCGGATGGGCAAGAAATTAACATAAAAATTGAAGGGGCGTTGAGCTCCCTTTTATAAGGGAGCCAACACCCCTTTTTTAATTTGATTTTCGATGTGGGACAATCTCACATCTTATTATTATTATTATTATTATTATACCCTTTTGGTCATTTTACATGTTAACCGTCAATGTAAACCGCTAATTTTACCAAATATTCTTTTGCAAGCCGCTGATACAATCCATTGGTCAAACCTGCTATACAATCCGCTATTTGTTAACCGCTAATACAATCCGCTACTGTTAACCACTAACTGTATAAGTAGAACTCCAAAACAAATTTCATAGAATTGTCACTTTGTCAGTGAATAAGGTGGCAGGGGGGCTTGCCTTTCAGTTATAGGTCCACTGTTTCAAATTTAGTCTGCCAACAACTCCAAAAGGCAACGACTCATGAACAAGTTGCTATCCTATCACTATCAGACACTGTTGGCATCACATCAGAATATCATTCAAAGTTCAAAGTAGGATTTGTCTTGGTGTTTAGTCTTGACACTGTAAACCTATTTTCTTCTCAGTTTCTGAAACTACACTGGCGGAGTTTCCAATTAAAGTCTTCAAGAACCCATTTTCAAAGTTATTTTCTTTGCTTATTTTTCGGATATGAATGCTTGACCCAAAATCTGGTTAGCTCTGATCTTTGACAACTTAGCCATGGTTGGTGATTCAGCTATCATGGGTACCAAGATCATCCCAAGCAGATCAATTCTCGGATTCAAGAACCCCATCAGGGTGTTTGGTGTTCCTCCAATTCCTAACCCCAATTTCAGTTTTGCTACTAACAAAGCTACCCTTAGAGCAATGGCGGCGATGCAAGTGGGAGCTGAGAACACTGAGAATGCTAGTAAATTGAAGAGCTTGAAAGGGTCCCTGGGAATCGATGCGGTGTCAGAAGAGGAGTTGAAGGAGAAAGGGTTCTTAGGGTTAAGGAAGACGAAGCTCGTATGCACGATCGGCCCGGCTTGCTCCTCTTTAGACGATCTGGAGGATTTGGCTCTGGGCGGGATGAATGTGGCGAGGCTTAATATGTGCCATAACTCAAGGGAGTGGCACCAAGATGTGATTAGGAAGATAAAGAAGCTTAATGAAGAAAAAGGGTTTTGTGTCTCTGTAATGATTGATACTGAAGGCAGTCAGATTCATGTGGTTGACCATGGAGCTCCTTCTTCTATCAAGGCAGAGGTAAATTGCTAATTCTTCATAATTTCATTTCTGGGTTTAGCTGAAAATCTGAAATGCAATCTTAATAGTTCTGTGTTTGCTTGGACCATTAGGAGGGCTCAGTTTGGAATTTCACAGCTCAGAAGTTTGAAGGTTTGCGGCCATTAACAGTTCAAGCACATTTTCAAGGTTTTTCTGAAGGTATAGTAAGAGTGAATTATTAGTATATGGATAAAACTATAGAAGGGGAAAGCTTTAGATGAATTAGTAGGTGCTTCTGTGGTAATGTGTAGGTATAAACATTGGTGATGAAGTTGTTATTGATGGAGGAATGGCGACGTTTGAAGTTATAGAGAAAATTGGAAATGATTTGCGATGCAAATGCACCGACCCTGGTCTACTGCTGCCCCGGGCTAAACTCAGCTTTTGGAGAGATGGAAAGGTCGTCGGGGGTAATAATGAGCTTCCAACTCTATCAGCAAAGGTGAATCCCTCAACCTCCCGGTTTAGTTTTCAATGGTCGTATATCTATTTTGTTCTGTTTTCTGGTTACTAAAGTTAAAGGCTTTAACTCTAGAAAGGATGTGTTGATAAGTACTCCGTAGTTTATTAACATAAATCTCTAATCTCGTGACTAAGATTTCATCTTTTACAGGATTGGGCTGACATTGAGTTTGGAATTTCAGAAGGTGTTGATTTTGTTGCGGTTTCATTTGTGAAAGATGCTGAAGCTATCAAGCAGCTAAAGAGCTATCTGTCTACTAAATCCTCTGAGTAAGTTGTGGTATTAAGTGACACATCCAAATGAAAACCTCGATTCAACAAGAATTTCGGTTCTCTCAATATTTGTCGTTTGTGAAAGATGCTGATGCCATTAAGCAGCTAAAACGTTTGTTTACTTCCCTGCTTTAATTCCCAGCTCAATCAAAACCTTGGCTAAGATCGAGAGTTTGGAGTCTTTGAGGAAGTTGGAAGAAATTGTCGAAGCTTGTGATGGAATTATGATAGCAAGAGGAGACCTTGGAGTTGAAATCCCTCTCGCGCAGATTCCCACCGTGCAGGAGAAGATTACTTATGTTTGCCGGCAACTCAACAAGCCCGTTATTGTAGCTTCTCAACTTTTGGAGTCAATGGTGGAGTATCCCACTCCTACACGAGCAGAGGTGATCCATTGTATCTTTTCCTAAACTAAAGCTTGTGTTTCGCTTGCAACAATCTAAAGCATACCTTTTGACTCAAAACACACGGTGTCCATAGGCTTAACATTGATAATTGTTGGGCAGATGCTGGTAAAGTGCCAAGTCCAGCACCCGGTGGCTAGGGAATTGTTGGGCGGAGGCCTAGAGGGCCAAGTCCAGCCTCTCGGAAATGTGTAGCGGCGCCTTTGCTACTAGCTATAACTTTTAGCGTAATGGTAAATGCTTGATTCTAACAAGTGGTATCAGAGTCAGGTCACGGGTTCGAGAACATGAACATATCACACTATAACCAATTGATGGCAACTACTAAACTGTAACAAACCCATAAGCAGAAGGACGGGAATCATAAAACCAGCACAACCCAGAATAGCCTTAACCAACTTGGTTGGCGTACTCTTGTCCCTTAAGAGTGGTTGGGAGTTCAAACCCCTTCTTGTATGGAAAAACCAATCTGGCTAGCACTTTGCCCCTTAATTGGGCCGGCCCGGTGTGAACAGGGATTAGTCTGAGTATGGTACGGGCTTAAAGGTGCCTCCTACAGTTAGGGCCTGCTCAGGACACCTCGTCGTCTAACCCAAAAAAACCCAGAATAGCCTTCTCATCGTGCTCTGATACTATATAGTGTTGAGCTTATATATCCTAAATCCTAATATTATATGGCTTTAGGTGGTCTTGAAAATTTGATGCCTAAAATCCCAAATACCTAGCTGTTGCGTGAACAATTTATTTCACGTGGCAGGTTGCCGATGTTTCTGAAGCAGTTCGACAGTATGCTGATGCGCTAATGTTGTCTGGTGAATCAGCAATAGGATTGTACGGGCAGAAGGCGCTCGATGTCTTGCGTACAGCAAGCAGTTGCATGGAACAATCGAGCCGTGCAGAGAACAGGCAAACTAGTTTACATCAGCTCACGCTTGGAGTTTCTTTGCCCGACAAAATCGCAGAGCAGATATGTAATTGTGCAGTAGAAATGGGTATATATCTTCATCCTCGCATTTCCAAATTTCCATACCATCATTATTTCCAACAAGCACTGTTATTATACAGCTAACAGCTAATTTACCAAACACCTTTCTACAATCAGCTAATATTATCGACTAGTTATACCATCTAATTAACCCAATCAGCTAACAGTCATTTACCAGACAGGGCCTAAATCTTTACAAGCGAGAACTTTTGAACATAACATTCTACAGTACATGACCGATAGTTTCTTTATCTGCAGCTAACAACATAGGCGTAGATGCTATCTTTGTGTACACAAGAAATGGGCAGATGGCGTCTCTCCTCTCGCGTAACCGTCCAAATCCTCCGATATTTGGCTTCACGAACGACAGTGGCACGAGGATGGCTCTCAATCTGCAGTGGGGGATAATACCTGTGTTAGTAGACCTATCGGATGACATGGAAGCAAACATTGAGAAAACCATTGATCTCGTAAAAGCAAAGGGGTTGATTAAGCGCGATGATGCAGTTTTGGTGGTTTCTGATATTATTCCAACTTCTACACCTCAAACAGTGTTCCAATCAATCCAGGTTAAAACCATTGTCTAGCTCCCTCAACAGTACCATCTTTTTCCCTTTCAAACACAGCAGAAAGCTTTCTTTCTTGTTTTGGCTGTTTTGATGTATGAATATAGTATAACACAGTTACACAGTAGAAAGCTTTCTTTCTTGTTTTGGCAGTTTTGATGTATGAATATAGTATATATAGATTACTATAAACATGAGTTTCTTAATTATCCAAATCTGTATCCTATTAATATCTTAGTTGACCTTGTTCTGTATGTCTCATATGTACTGGAGGATGATAGGTGTTGGACGGAATAGAGCAGAGTTGAATTCAACACTTATCCGGGTTACATTTGTTTTCTTTAGTCACGTAATGTGAGGTGGGTTGGGAGTGCGGAGTAGCACCCTATAGTATAGTACGTAATACTTTAGCTCATTTTAAGTTACAAATAAGTTATAAACTCGATAAAATATTAAAAGTTTAAATAATAGTTTATTTTGAAATGCGTTTTAAAATAAGTTAGTAGCTACTAGCTTTTAAGTTTTTAACTTTAAAATAACTTATACAAGTTAGGTATGTCAAACAGAACCTTCAATGTTGCAAAAGTAGGTGCTAATCGGGTGTCCCGGGGGTGTTTAGTACCTAGGCGGCCAAGTAATTTGAGTATATCCTCTCAACTTTTTTTCATTTAAGGCTATGAGCGGTTAGACTGTTATAATCTCTCAAACTAATCAACTACATATGTTAGTTTGTTATAATCGTCCAAACTAGTCAACTACATATGTTAGATGGTTGAATAATGACTGGAGAAATATAGAAAGAGGAGCAACTGAATAGGCAAAAAAAAATGTTAGATAGTTGATAATGATGGAGGAATATAGACAGAGGAGCAACTGAATAGGCAAAAAAAAATCACTTGGTCGATTTGGGCGCTGACTCAACCGAGTTAGGTGCCCAACTCAACGCCTAGTCGACTCATCAACTAAAAACGACTTAGAGCTGAAATCGCCTCAACTTTGGAGCATATAGCACCTAGTCAGCCGCCTAGGCTGATTTTCACAACAGAGCCTTACAGGTTTGGGTTGTATAAATATGTTGCTTGTAACATGATGTTCTACTATTATCATTAATAAAAAGTTGTCGGAATTACATGAATATTGTCTTCTTTTTTTTTTTTTATTTTTTTTATTATTATTTTTTTTATTTTTATTTTCTATCATTGTTATTGATTTTTGTACTCATCAATCTCAACGGACCCAAACCACAGTGAATTGGATTACCGTATATAGATGTAGAAGAAAACTTGTGAATCTTGCGTACGGAAATCTCCTGCTGCTAGTGCTGGATTCTAAGCTTCAACTTCCTAGAGTTTCTTTTCTATAGTTTACTCTGCGAATTGACTTAATATCACACCAAAACTCGTTTGAGTTGAAATCAAAAATTTATTTAATCACATATGTATGCAACGTCTTAGCAGAGTTAATCGTTCTGAGGTAGAACAATTGTGTACGTTCCAGTGATTTGATGAAGTTACTGTATGGTGGGAGATGAAAACATTATCCAAGGAAGGCGGTTAGGTTAGCAGAAATGCAGAACAGAGGCTTGGTTGTCACTTGTCAAGCAGAGAATGAGTTCTGGCCACAAAAGGAACCACGACATCTCGCGCACAAATACAAAATCACAGCCTTTAATTTCTAAACTACGCCGATGGGTATATGCCCCACCTCAGAGAAGACTAATCAGTAATCCCGCCGTTTTGTCTGCATTCTCTCTCTCTCTCTCTCTCTTTCTCTCTAGAAACTTGGTTTAATTCACGAGCACGCTTTCCTCTGTTTCTGGTTAAGGGAATCCGATCCCCCACCCCCTGAATTGGATATATATATATAATCTCGGGTTGAAGTTTACTACTGGGTTGGAGAGAAATTTGAATAATGGCTCACCTCCAGTTGTTGAAATATAGTGTGTCGTCATTTTTGAGTTCTCATACAAAATTGGCGTGCAGTTGCTCGGATTTCAGCTCGGGGATCATAGGATATAGAAGAAGGAGAAGGAATTTTCGGTTTCAAAGCAAGCGGAATCGGAGCTTCAGATTATTGATTGATCGGAAGCTTAGGGTTTCATGCAGAACTCAGGACAACGATACTCCAAGCAATGGTAAAATTAGCTAACTATTCCTTTTCTTTTTAAAAAATAAAATAAAATTAATTTACCTTTGTGATTAAACTTTTGATTTTTAGATTCCAGCGTTTATGTAATCCAGTATATGCATGTTTGTGTTTATATTTGTGGCTTGTGCATGGTATGTGCAAGAGAAACCATCTAGATCAAATAGCTGTACAATTTGAGGACCCGAGTTTAAGGTTGAGAAAAGGCAGATGAAAGAGTTTGTTATTGTGTAAACTGGTATGATGGTTAGAATACAAGTTGAAGAAAATGCACTGTTGTAGTTTATGTTGCATTCTCCAAACATGGAGTTCACCAGAAAAGAAAGGGGAATTTAGAAAGCAAACTTTTGTTTCAGTTGAAGTAAAAACAGAATTTTAGTAACTTATGATGTTCAAACCTCAAAAGCTGATGGACAAAGGGGTTTTGTTTTTCTTTTTTTTTGGGTAATATCATGTTTCTTGTGCTAGTGTACTCAGTACTTTATCGTTGAGCTTGGATAATCCTAAACCCAGATTTTAATTTTACTGTTGGGACCAGGTGAAGAACCTCCTGAGTCGTTGTTTATGAAAGAATTGAAGAAACGAGGCATGACTCCTACTTCATTACTTGAAGAAAGCAACAGAAGCATCTTGGAGGATGAAGAAACAAAAATTAAGGAAGAAGATGGAGGCTTTTCTCGTAGAAATGCCATCTCGACGGAATCAGGAAGAAACTTAACTAATCAGAGAGAGCAGTCCATGGCCCTTAATAGTGAAGGCATTGAGGTTTGCATCTTTTTATTTTTTTCTTTTTTGATAGTTCTGTTTAGTTGATTGAATTTTGTCACTAGTAAACTTTTTAATTTATGGAATAGTGGTATTTCCTACAACACTGCATCACTACCCCCTTTTTCAATTCATCTCGATGAGAACTGTATAAACTGTATTAGATGAACAATAATTACAACTGTACAGATTGAGGGAATATGTACAAGAGAGAATCATAGGAAGACTAGGGTAGGGAGTCATAATGTGACTCAAATACAAACAGTCCTAATAATCTCTACCTCTCAATGGTTGTTTTGTATCAGTCTCTAAATATTCAACTCAGATTCTTCTCAATTATATCATGAGCGCTTTGTGCTCTTTTGTAAGACATGTAAGATAGCTATTCAAGAGGCAATGTACATAATTTGCAACAGTCCTTGTCTTTTATTCTTTGTAAACTGTCCCACTAGATGCTATTACATGTGTTACTGGATTTTCATTTCAATTTTACCTTCTTCAGGGCTTAATTCCACGGGCTAAGCTTTTGCTGACCCTTGGAGGGACGTTCTTTCTGGGATTCGGGCCACTAATCCTAGTAACCGTTGCATTTTTCTCTGCTTTGTACCTGGTAAGTTCATATTATGATCTCTCTCTTGTTTCAAAGAGTTATACATCATTACAAACAATTGTTTTTCTAGCTTAGCTTGAACATATTAGTGTTGAAGTTCATGAATACAACATGGAATTTCATATACCTTTCCCACCCACATTGAACCTCTTGTCTACCCAGTTAACAAGGGTGCATTATTCATTTTTAACCAACAGTATTTCGGACCCACATTTATCCATGACGGAAGCAATGCTCGCATCACTCCACCGCAATATGTTGATCCCTATGCACTACTCGAAGACGAAAGGATATCCCAAACTGCACCTGGTCTAAACTGAAGAACTCTGCTTCAAATGTCAAGTACATGTTTGTTTCACATATATATACTCTTCGACTTAATGTTGTGATCTAGTTAGGAAGTAGGTAGGAATTTCCGACTACTAGGTTAAAGTTTTCTTTGATCTACCAATGTAAAATATGTATGTACTCAATTCCCTTGAAAGAAGATTTCAAATGAATCAGCAGCTTTTTATAGCAGATGGAAATGCAGATACATATGCTCCATATATGAATATGAACGGGGAAAAGTGCAGATCCAATGCATTCTGTCTGAATGTTCATTGCTGCGTACCGTATCCGAGTCCATGAACTTAAAGATTCTATCCAATTGACTTTTGCAAGGTACATCTCAAGTTTGGGAAAGAACATCTCAATTCTCAAGTGCCATAATAAACGTCAATGATTAAAAGTGAAATTTATTTTAAAATTATTTTTTTCTCAACAAATAGGTATAAATGTCACACGTGCATATACATAATAAATTTTGGTAGTGAAAAATAGTTCTTGTGGGCGTAACTTGATCAAGTTAGTGTTAAATTAATAATCACAAGGTTACAAGTTCGGCGACATTGGTTAGGTTTTTAACTTGTTAATTACAAGGTTACAAGTTCAACTATTGACCTATGGACAACCTAAATTGATTTATCTCATTTTAATTTTTTGTCAGTAAAATTTACCTAGTCCACACCCTTAAATAATGTCTGTGAATTTTTCTTGTTACTCTGAGCCAACATCAATGAATGATACATTTATTAGAAGTGTAACCTAAGGCTGAAGCTCTCAAATCGGAAAGGTAACTTAAACAGTTAAACCCACGCACACTCCCTATTTCACTCCTCTCTTTTCTTTTCTTTTCTTTTATTTTGTTGAAGTAGAGAAATTACGCACGGCGGTTATTTTCGATCGGTCCGGTGGATTCAGTATCTATCCATCACTATATCAGATCAAGATACTCGGCATATACATACACCATTAATTAAGCCAGCAGGCTAGGGGTAGTTAGTTAGTTATTGACAATTAGTCGGTTAGTTAGTTATTGCTCCCTGCCAGAATATTGCTTGTTTATCCATCCATCATCTCTATATGTATGCATCCATGCAAACCTGCCTACATTTCTAACGATTTCTACACTTGATCAACATACATTATTCACACACATTTTAATTTGCCCCAATTCGATCACAATTCTAAAAACCCTCTCTCTCTCTCTCTCTCTCTCTCTATCATCATCATCTATCCGATCTTCAATTCACAGTTTCACGCACAGATCCATCCACAAGACTTGCAGTAATATAATTAATGGAGACAAGCTTGAGCAGTGGTATAGAAGCTGGCCAGGATCCCAAGGTTGACGATGACGGTCATCCCAAAAGAACTGGTACATATATCCTTTTCATTCATAATTTCTTCCATTTTTAAATCTGATTCTCTAATGCATTATCCTAAGAAATCTTTCAATTTCTACCGCTTAATCATTCCGCTGTAAGCTTTATAAAATATATTCTATGTATGCCCACCAAGTATTCGACATTTGGTTATAAGCACATTCCTTTCATTGTTTTTCAAATTTATTAATGCATGCTCGTAAGGATTGTTGGTTAAGTAGATTATTGTGATTGTATAAAGAAACAAGAGTTAATGCCCGCCCATCTGATTAAGTCTTTCAAGTATAGCGATTTTGTCATATTTACTTCTAATTAAACTTTCAAATTAACCATGCAGTCCTTCAAACTTTCAAATTTTAACCAGTCGTGATCCTTCAACTTTCAAATTTTAACTCGTTGTAAAACTACTATATTAGAACGACTTCAAATGGCATTAACTGAAAGAAAAAAATGGAGGAAGAGTATTGATTATGGATGGCTTTGGTATTACAGGAACTTTGATAACAACAACTGCACATATCATAACAGCAGTGATAGGGTCAGGAGTGTTATCTCTGGCATGGGCTACTGCACAACTGGGGTGGATTGCAGGCCCGGCAACTCTCTTGGCATTTGCAATCATTTCTTGTTACGCTGCTACTTTACTTGCTGATTGTTACCGCTCCCCAGATGGTAAAAGAAACCACACTTACATGGAAGTTGTCAGAGCTCATCTAGGTATGCATGCATTAAAACTAATTTGAACCATATATATATAGGTTTTATTTCTTTTTATTTTACTACTTCATTCAAATTAAATTAAAGCATGCTGCAGCTTCCTTACAGGATTTTAAAATTGATTTCAATTCTAGGAGGGTATAACGTCAAGCTGTGTGGAATAGCTCAGTTTAGCAATCTGATTGGTACTACCATTGGATACACTATCACCACTTCACTCAGTTTAATGTACGCCATCCAGAACTACAACACTAGTACAAGTGAATATTTCACTTCTGTTTTCTTTTTTGGTCTACTGGTTAATTCAATAATGCAGTTTGATTGGGTGAAAAGTGATTATTGGTGTGGTTAACTAACAGGGCAATCGAGAAATCAAACTGTTATCATAAAAATGGGCATGATGCTAATTGCCGGCAGAAGAACATGAACTTCACAATCCTTTATGGAATGGCACAAGTTGTTCTCAGCCAAATTCCAAACTTTCATGAGCTTGCTTATCTCTCCATTTTTGCTGCTCTCATGTCTTTCACTTACTCTGCCATTGGCCTCGGCCTCTCCATAGATAGAATTGCAAGTGAGTTAAATCCTACCTACAAAATGTGTGTTCATACACTTCCAAATTTTCATGACTATATTACTGTTCTCTTGGGGTGTACTTTAAAATGTACATATTTAATCCATTGTTAAATTTATAGGTAACTTATTACTGTTCTCTTGTAGTCTTAGGTTTGGACTAATTTAACGTTAAGCTACTATTAGATACCATTTAGGGAGAGGGCTCTTCAAATTAAATGCCTTGGTCTATTGACAAGGCCGGCATGACTGAACCCCGAGATCTTACCTAAGGGTGAACAAAGTTCTTTCTACTAGACCAATCTTTACTGATCAAAATCCAGGCTAATATATATAGTTTGAGTGTATGTAGTTTAGGCCAGGATTTGTATGAGATGTAGTTAATGGGTTTTTTGTTGATTGTTTATTAGGAAGGGGGTGTGCGAAGACTAGCTTAACGGGACAGCCAATTGGACCAAACTTCTCAACCACAGAGAAAATGTGGAAGATCTTTGCTGCCCTAGGAGACATTGGTTTTGCCTATATTTTCTCTAATGTTCTAGTGGAAATACAGGCATGAATTCGTATTTGATTATTTATATATACAGAGATATATTATTTGGTGTAGATTAACTGAAAAAATTAATGTTAATTTGCATTGAAGGACACAGTAAAAGCCTCCCCAAGGGAGATTAAGGTGATGAAACAAGCCACTTTCTGTGGCATATGTATTTCCTCCATCTTCTACATGCTGTGCGGCGTCCTGGGATACGCCGCATTTGGGAGCGATGCACCTTCAAACTTCTTGACTGAGTTTGGTTTCTACGATCCATTCTGGCTTATTGACTTCGCTAACGCCTGCATCATTGTACACCTTCTTGGAGCTTACCAGGTGGGTAATGCATATTTATATGTTATTTTTACTATACTGTCTATACCTATACATTTTCTTACCAATCTGACCTTTTTTTAACTGGAATAAAAATATGTATTAAGTGTTTGTTTTATATGTTTGTAACTAGTAATAACAATAAATATTTATGGGCAGTTTACAAATTGGATGTTCAACTGGATTGAGATTAAAACTTAATTGGGTTGCGACAGGTTTTCGCGCAACCGATATTTGCCTTCGTTGAAAACCGGTGCAAGAACAGATGGCCAAACAGCAGATTCATAAACGGGAAGAGCTTTAAGATTTCTGCCAACAAAACATGGAATGTGAGTATGTTCAAGCTGACATGGAGGACTGCGTATGTGGCAATCACGACCATAGTGGCGATGCTGTTCCCATTCTTCAACGATTTCGTGGGGCTTCTGGGAGCCATCTCCTACTGGCCCCTAACCATTTACCTGCCGTTTCAGATGTACATTAAGAGGACCAATATTCGCAGGATGTCTTTCACTTGGATGTGGCTCACTGTTTTGTGTGTGGCTTGCTTATTACTCTCCATATTAGCGGCTGCGGGATCTATTCGTGGCCTAATCAAGGCTGTCACCAGGTTCAAGCCCTTTCAAGCTGAATCTTGAATGAAGCAAATTTTTTATTTAATGGCTCATTTTTTTTTTTCCTTTTTTCTAGCTAGCTAGGGAATCAATGTGTTTGCATTGTATAGGAATTAATCAATTAATTAGACTCAAATATTGGGTTGATTTTGCTTTAATTTTCTAGCTAGTTGCATAATTGCATTGCCTCATTTTATTATGATTACCTCTAAGAGCAAAAATGATTTTTTTTTTTTTTTTAGGTGTGAACTAGGCGAGAGATGAGTGAAAAAGAAAAAGAAAAAAAAAGGGAAAAAAAAAACATGTTTGACCATCTAGCCCGAAAAAAAAAAAAAAAAAAAAAAAAACCCAGGACGCACCAGCTCATGCACGCGACGGACTGGGCACTGAATGTGCACCTAACGTGCACAAAGGCAGTAGTCTTTTGCAATCTCTCTCATGCGGGACCCATAAAAAAAACTAGTATTTGCAGGAGTAAAATTTGAGAAAAAATCATGCCTTCCATTGAAAAAAAATTTGAGAAATCGTAAAATGGAACCAAAGAATGAGGCAATAATTTTGGCAGTATTTAAAGGAGAAATATGACTATATATGGATGCCAACTTGCATTATCATGCATGATGATTATTAAAGGTTTACGACCTAACCACACGAAATTAAGTTGGTACAACAACAACTAACAACAAACAACAATACATAAATATGAACTATTATTGCATGCATGCATGAAGTTCAAGATTCCACGTGAAACGGCTGGAACCTCTTCACAGATTTGATTAAACCTCTTATAGACACAAAGCAAAGCATACTCAAAATCTGGAGCCAAATCCAACCGAAAGACAACCTGCGAACCTTTGCCCTCGCAATGTACATCTGAACCGGCAAGTAAACGGTTAAGGGCCAGAAAGCGGCGGCCCCTATGAGACCCACGAAGTCGTTGAAAAACGGCAACAACATAGAGATTAAGGTTATCACCACAACGTACGCGCTTCTCCACACTAATCGGAACGCGCTGAATCTCAGCCTCGGAAGACATGGAACCTCAATCGCCGTTTCTTGATTGACGAATCTACTCGCCGGCCACCTCCTCTTGCACCGCTCCTCCACGAATGCAAATACCGGCTGCGTAAACACCTGGTAGGCTCCCAGGAGGTGTACGAATTAAAAGTGCAGGCTATATTTATTGGCACTAAAATCCGACCAAAAGTCAGTAGCTAGCGAACATAGGGAATACGTACGTAAATGCTGCGGGGAAAATTATAGATTATTATCTATATCTATACTATATATATATAAAAACAAAATTCTCAATTTAACTTTCCGTCCAAAAAAACTCCTATAGATTTGCGCAATATTGTAAAAATATGGTAATACAAATTCTAATATAATATATTCTTTCCACTTTCTTATTCTTATACTGTTAATAAAAGTAAAAACCATCATCTTCAACTTTCCCGTTCAAACTAATATAAATGTTAATTAATTGGTAAAAAAATTAATAAAGTTTAATTAGTAACAAAATTTTATATGAAAATTAATTAATATCTAATGAATTGTTACCACAAATTAAAACCAATATATACTTAAAAATGAAAAATGGTTACCCAATTCTAAGAATAATTAAACCATTATAATTGTGAAAATAATGGAAATAATAATAATAATAATAATAATAATGATAATAATAATAATAATAATAATAATAATAATTTTTTTTTTTGAAGTCTACACACGCGGAATACTGATAGATTTTGCGTAATAAATGAAAAAATTCATTAAAAATTCTGTGTAATTTTATAAGAAAATAATAATTTATTAATTATTATTTACACAAATAATAATAATTTTTTTTGCACAAATAATAATAATTCGAATATTGATTTTACACCAATAATAATAATAATAATAATTTGAATTCTACACACGCAGAATACTAATTTTGCGTAATAGTAATTTTTGAAGATTTTTTTTTTTCAATTTATTTGCGTAAAGATGGATTCCTTTTTCTATTTAAAACTATTTGTAAAAAGATGTTTGGTAAAAGTTTATATATATATATATATATATATATATATATATATACCTAAATGCAGTTAATGTGACTATAATAAAATTACATTGTATGGCCAACAAATACATTTATAGTAATAATAATTATATATAAATGTATTTATCTCATAATTTGTATGATTATATATAATGGTACAATTTATGATATAAGTTGCTCCCTTATGTGGGAGGTTAACACTTTGTGTTTCAATAAGTTGAGAAAGTAGTTATGAATAGATACTGTCAGTAGTACTCAAATATATATATATATATATATATATATATATATATATATATATATATATATATATATATATATATATATATATATATATAATGTTATAATTTATGAAATTATGTTTGAGGTTTTTTTATTGGATCATGTCCACAATAAATTAGGTTACAATTCAGATACTGGATGCGATAAAATAAATAATGTATGTTAGATTAGTCGACAAGGAAATCCCTTAATTTAAGAGGGTAAGTACAAAGATAATAGGTTCGAACACATGCCCAACAGGAGGCTACGTCAGGGTGCTAAGGTTGTTACTACTATGCAGACAATGACATGACCATTAATAAACTTAAATCGTTGTTGCTGTGTAATGATTATTTGAGAAGACGTCAATGTCTTGAATACTGGGGGGAGGGGAACCTGTTCTTTATTGGCGAGGGAAGCCATTACACTTGTGGAAACTCCATATAATAATGTATCTCTTAATAATCCAACACCAGCCACCTATCGCAAAACACATCAGAGCCACACATTTTAGATTGGCCAAATGCACAGTTAGAAATGGGACACATGGCCCCCAGCAACAAGGTACAACTGCAGGGGTTGTGCTCGAGGCGAGGCAGTGTCTTGTGGCTTAACATGGGCAGGACCACATGGAACATGACCAGGGCCGTCCCTGGCCATGTCTGGACAGGGCTAGCGCACAGTGCCCCCAAATTTTGGGGGCCCCAAATATTACATACGTAGTATATATGTGCATATTGTGCACCCAAATTTTGGGGACACTTTTATTAAAAAAAAATTATTATTTTATATTATATTTTATATATTAGTGTAGGTGTAATTTATGTATAAAGAAATCAAGACGGTTTAAAATTCTAAAAAATTTATATTCCTAATTCTTAAGGACTTGATTTACGTATAGAGTTATAGTCTTATAACTTATAGGAATTGAGGCGGCCTATTTGATTATTGTAAAAGTTATTATATATAAAGAGTAAAAAATTACTCTTATTCCTATTATAATGCATACACGCAAGAATTTGGTCTCAGTAATCATTAATTTGAAGTGTGTTGTTTGTGCATTTGGCATCCTCAAATTTTTTTATTCTTCACGATAAAAGGATGAAGGTATGTAAATAATTAAATATTTTAATTTTTTAATTTTATTCAAAATTTTAAAATTATTAATTCAATAACTAACCCTAGCTAGGAATTTTTTTGATTGGTGAATAACAATATAATTTCTTGTATTTTGATACTACAATTGCAATATCAATTAGTCTTGACTATTTTCATTACTGTTGTTTATACATAAAGAAGTTTTTTAAATTTAAAATTGTTGAAATCTTACTTATGATAAACTATTTTGTAAAAAAGACTCAATGGATTTGTGAATAATTTTACATCTAAATGGCCGAATAAGAAGAAGAATGTCACTTTTCAAGTGAAATTTTGAATAATTTTTTTTATAGACTATTATATATTTTGGTACAATATAATATATCTTTTATATATTTACAATTATATACAAAAAGGGGGCCAATGTTAATTTTCGTACAGGACCCCAATTTTCTTAGGAACGGCCCTGAACATGACCTCACTTAGATAGGGATGGAACATGTTTTACCGTGTAACCCGAAAAAGAAAAAGAAAAAAAGAAGAGCACAGGACGCGCCAGCTCATGCACGCGCCCGACTGGGCACTGAATGTGCACTGAATGTGCGCCTAACATGCACAAAGGCAGTAGCCTTTTGCAATCTCTCTCATACGGGACTCATAAAAGCTAATATTTGTAGGAGTAAAATTTGAGAAAAAATCATGTCTTCCATTAATGTAAAAACGCAAGCTTAGTTTTTAGATATGAAGAAAAACTCATAAAAATTGAAAAACAAACATTGATAAATATACTTTGACTACCTAACCACACGAAATTAAGTTGGTACAACAACAACTAACAACAAACAACAAACAACAATACAGAAATATGAACTATTATTGCATGCATGCATGAAGTTCAAGATTCCACGTGAAACGGCTGAAACCTCTTCACAGATTTGATTAGACCTCTTATAGACCCCGCAGCAGCCAAGACTGAGATGACGAAGCAAAGCATACTCAAAATCTGGAGCCAAATCCAACCCAAAGACAACCTGCGAACCTTTGCCCTCGCAATGTACATCTGAATCGGCAAGTAAACGGTTAAGGGCCAGAAAGCGGCGGCCCCTATGAGACCCACGAAGTCGTTGAAAAACGGCAACAACATAGAGATTAAGGTTATCACCACAACGTACGCGCTTCTCCACACTAATCGGAACGCGCTGAATCTCAGCCTCGGAAGACATGGAACCTCAATCGCCGTTTCTTGATTGACGAATCTACTCGCCGGCCACCTCCTCTTGCACCGCTCCTCCACGAATGCAAATACCGGCTGCGTAAACACCTGGTAGGCTCCCAGGAGGTGTACGATGATGCAGACGTTGGCGAGGTCGACGAGCCAGAAGGGGTCGTAGAAACCGAATCCGGTCAAGAAATTCGACGGCGCGTGGTGGCCGAAGGCGGCGTATCCGAGCACGCCGCACAGCATGTAAAACACGGTGGATATGAATATTCCGGCAAAGGTGGCTTTTTTCATAACCATATTCTCATCGGAAGAAGCTTTTATGGTATCCTGCGATGCATATATATATTTATGAGTAATAATTAATATAATAACCATCAACATCATCGTCATTATTTGACCAACGTACACCTACTAATGAATCATTAAATTGGGTATTATTAAATAAAATAAGAATTTATAATATAAATAATATATGTTTACCTGAATTGACAATAGAATATTGGAGAAAGTATAGGCAAACGCTATGTCTCCGAGTGCGGCAAAGATTTTCCACAGCCTATCTGCACTTGACAAGTCGGCTCTGATTGGCTGCCCAATTAAGCTAGTCTTCACATGTCCTCCTCCTAAAAGTTTTTGAACACGAGAAAATGTTAGGTTGTACTGTCTAATTTATTAACATTAAATTTTGAGTTTATTAATGTATAATGTCTAATAATCTTTAACTTTTTGAACATGTTACGTACTTGCGATTTTGTCTATGGAGAGGGCAAGTCCAATGGAAGAGTAAGCAAAAGACATGACAGCGGCAACGATGGACAGAAAGGAGAGCTTATGAAAGTTTGGGATTTGGCTTAGAATAATTTGAGCAACTCCGAAGAGGATTGTGTAGGTATTGTTGGTCCGCCCGCAGGCAGCATCATGCCCATACTTATGGTAGCAGTTGGATTTCGAGATGGCACTGCATGTACATATTATATATATATTTATCAACATTATCTTATATTATTCAACAAAATTTAAAAATAAATTAAAACATAATTAATACGACGTGACGTAGGCAGAATTATTAATTGCATACGTTCCGTTCTTACCTCATGCTTAGTGTTGTGGTGATGGTGTAACTAATGGCAGCACCAACAAGATTGCTGTACTGCGCTATTCCACACAGCTTCACGTTTGGTCCTCCTGTTCAATTTGGTATCAGAGTCAATCTCATGTCAAAGGTTATGAACACATACTTCAACTCATTAGACATCCCCTATCAGCACCAATAGTCAGGACTATAATACCACTTATTAGGATTAAGTGCTTACTAATACTACTTTTGAGAGGTAGCAAGGTGCCGGACTTGACCCTTTACATGTCTGTGCCCAATAATCCCTTAGCTATATGGTGCGGGACTTGACCTTACCGGCCTCGGATCGATCCGCCCAACATTTTCTTTTAATTTCTGTGATAATGAAAGCAAAGTTTGAGTACCTAGGTAAGTGGTAACGGCGGCCATGTAAGTGTAGTTTCTGGTAGTATCAGGGGAACGGTAACAGTCAACGAGTAAGATGGAAGTATAGCAGGTGATGATGGCGAAGGCCAACAGAGAAATGGGTCCGGCGATCCAACCCAACTGTGCGAATGCCCAAGCTAGAGACAGCACGCCCGACCCGATTACTCCCGTTATGATATGTGCACCAGCAGTCATCATCGTACCTACAAATTCAAACCAACACTTTACATCGTACCAGATCGAACTCAAACATCATCTACTCCATATATAAAAAATTATACATAAATACATACATACCGGTTCTTTTTTCAAGACCATCGTCGTCAAACTTTGCATCACCATAACCCCTCCCTTCTTCTGTACCAGAGCTTAAACCTCCTTCCATCTCAATCTCCATCTCCCTCTCTCTCTATCTCTTCACTGAGAGATGTGTATAGTTGGGTGTTGAAGAAGAAGAAAAGTGCAGGCTATATTTATTGGCACTAAAATCCGACAAAAAGTCAGCTAGCGAACATAGGGAATACGTACGCAAATGCCGCAAATTATGCTGTGCAACCGAATGCACCATGCACATGGTGCATTCGATGCAAAACGACGTCGTTTTGGTTAAAAAACGCGCGTCCCACTTAAAGAAGAAATCAGGTTCGATTCCCGGCAATAGTATTTTTATATATTCATAAATTCATAACTATATATCCACAAATTCATAACTATATATCCACAGTGAATGAATGAACTAAATATCCACAATGAATGAACTAAATATCCATAAATTCATAACTATATATCCAGAAATTCATAACTATATATCCACAGTGAATGAATGAAGTAAATATCTACAATGAATGAACTAAATATCCACAATGAATAAACTAAATATCCATAAATTCATAACTATATATCCACAAATTCATAACTATATATCCAGAAATTCATAACTATATATCCACAATAATGCTTGCCGAGAATCGAACCTGAATTTTTTTTTTTTTTTTTTTA